AGTTAGATATGTATTTCATGGAGCCGACCTTCTTGGCGACTGAGAGAAAGGTCACGGACCCCTCAGCCGTTGCGCATTTTAAGACGGAACGAGTCTCAAATTGAGAATCTCAAGGTGGTGAGACTGATTTTGAGTCCACGTGTCAAGTGGCCAATCCTGATTGCTGCGCCGCCTGGTGGTGCTTCATTGCAAACTCTGCCACGAGTCGAGTGCCACGTCAGCCATCACCATTAGCCGAGCAGCCTCAGCCAACGACGGACGGATTTTTGCACTCCTCAACAAATTTTGTGAAATTCAACAGCCAGAGGTAAATGTCCGTTAGTAATTAGTTTATTAGTGCAAGTCACATTGGGGGGAGGTAGGTGCTAGATAGTAAATTGGTCTCCCCTCCCACCTTCTAATAGCTGCAATTTGCAACTATTAGAAGGTGGATATTACTGCTGCCGAATTTAATATACAAGTAGTCGGTCTTCCCTCTCTCTGCGATAAATTAATCACACCTGTACTTATTTGCAGGTCGTAATTAACCATTATGGCAACGCAAAGAAACCTGGCCGTGAAGGATGAGCCCAAAAGTCCTGATGCGTGCTCCTTGGATGACTTTGAAGACGGGTGGCCTCCCAACAAACTTGTCCGCGTCGACTCTGGAAACTACCCAATTTTGAGGGGTCAAGACAAGAGGAAGCGACTACGGAAAGAGTGCTTGGAAGCTGTCAAAGCAGAAAATCAGTTTTTCGACGACTGCCAGAAGGATGGACTGGCTGAAGGAAACCTCAAGGGCAAACGAAAGTCGGCAAGAAAACCAAGTTTGGTGGCGACTGAGACAGCTCGGAAATTGCCACTTCGGGCGGCTCGACGAATTGGAACTGGAGGAGAAGGAGATCCACCAAGTTTCGTGCCGTGCAATCTGCCACGACAACGGCCTGCTTTTGAAGTCAGTCCTGCCATCTTTGAAGCCAACGGCATTCTCGGAAATGGGAAGGGCACTGTTTATCCCAAGTACGAACTTGATTCGCAGTACAACTTCATCATTCCCGAACCGCACAAGTTGAAGAATGCTCCGTGGAAGCAGAGTCCAATTGAGCCGCCGGAAGGGTTGGAACCAACCGTTTTGTAAGTTCTTGCAATTAAATAATTATTATATGAATAGCAAAAAAGATAACTGATGGTGTTTTAATTCTGCTCTTATTATATTACTGCTTGTCAGATCTGTGGTGGCGTCGGTGAACTTGGGAGCAGATTTGGACCTGAAAGCCATTGCTGATGGATGCCTGGACTTGAGCTATAATCCCGAGTCATTCGCACCCTTGGTCATGCGTCTCAAAGATCCAATCGCCACGGCCATGATTTTCCCGGCTGGCAGGATGACCGTTTCTGGGGCCAAATCGGTGGAGGCTTGCAAGATTGCAGTGAGAAAGTTCACAGCGATGGTTCGGTCGGTGGGATTCAATGTGAGACCGTTTGGAATGTTGATTAAAAACATCTCTGCCACCTTCAGTGTTGGCTTCAAGATTAGGTTGAGACACCTCTCCAAGAATCGAATGCTCACCCCACAAATAACGTGAGAAACCCAAATTACATGCTCATTAATAATCCATCTACTTAATTAATAAGTACGTTTATCATTTGATTCGCTGACAGGTATGAACCTGACTCGTTTACCGGAGTTTCGATGGCTTTGCCATTTCCGAAAGCTAATGTGATGGTGTTCCGGACTGGGAGCGGGATGATACAAGGTAATTAATTATCATATGTACCTACATTTATTTTGGAGGGAGTGATTTGAGATCTTTTTTGTTGGCACTACAATTATTTAATATCTTTATTTACAGGAGTTACCACTTTCAAGGATCTCGATAAGGTCTTCAAGATCATTTACCCCCACCTCAAAATGTATGCAATGTAGGAAGGCCAGGATCGCAAGAAACTATTTGGCACTCGAATTCAGTATAATCTTCAACTTTGGAAAAATGTTCATTCGTAAACAAGGATCAAATTCACATCAAATTAAAAATAACTTTAATTTCATCTTATTCTATTTAAATATATTGTTACTATTTAATAGAAATTTTACATACCAATTCTAACCAATGGTAAGAATTAAATGTGCACTTATCTTATTACATTGTTGCATATAAAAAGTATATGAAATACATAAAGCGACTCTCCGATAATAAAATTGAAACAATCGTATCTTAAGAAGTATTTAATATGTAATAAAACACGGACTTACAAAGGGGATGGTGATGCGAATCAAAATTGTGACAACTTTCACTACCGTCTTTGTTAAAATATCTCGTTAGAACGTTCCGTTTTTGGGAAAAGAACAAGTGTGGATGCTGTTCTTCTTGGAGCTGATGATTGGAACAATTATTTTCTTGCCGTTGCATTTTTTGTGACAAAAATTAACGGGGAATGTTGCAGAGTTGAGGAAATTTACAACTTTCTCCACACAGGTCGATACATTTACTGACTGACCAACATGACATGCTCAACGCCCACAAGATAATTTATGGTCAAGGAAAAGGTGTGTGTGCGTTTGTGTCAACATATTTCCATTTCTGAGAAATAGTTAATTCGAGAAAATTGAGGAAACGCGAAAGGTTGATTAACTCATTGCGACTTAATCAAGACGAAGTGAAACAAAGATTAGTGTATGAATTGTTGATGAGGAGTGACATGTTTTGGTCGATTTACTCAGAATTTGACATGTTCATTACCCTATCACCAATCAAAGGGATGGGATGAGGAGGGAGAAGGACGTGCCAATTCAGGTTGCAATTAAGAAAGGTGTTTGATTATGTCTCATGCTACGAAATATATTTAACTATTCGCATAGTTTCAGCTTGGGAACATATTGGAAGGATTGATTTAGAAAGAAAACTGTGATCGTGAGAGTGAGTGAGCAAAAGCTATAAAATAATTCGCCGAAATTGAGCAGGGATTAATCAAGCGTTCAGTTTTACACTTCTGCAGCTTTATTAATTTAATAATTTTCATCAAATTAAGTACTCTGATTTTTTAGAAATGTAGCCAGGAACAATGACCAGGATGCACCTGTTGCCCTTTGCCCCGATTTCCGATTTGTTTCAAAAGACAAAATAAACATAAAATGTGCTTTCATTTCCGGTTGTCATTTGTAGCAGAAAAATGGAGTGTTATGGTGGAAGAGTTGTGAGGTGGTGATTTTGAGATGATCAAATTATATGAACATAAAACAAGAAATGGGCAAACAAACTGGGGCGTACAATTCGTCATCGTTAGCTATACGACACGTATGTACGTATATTAGTCCTTTATTTCCAAACACACTTTCGCCAGAAACATAATTCTGGAAGTGAACCCATTCATTTTTCATCTCAACTCCCCACTAGTCGAATCGCAAGAAGTGTGTCCCAATATTTTTCTGGACAATGCTGTACATACGTAACACCTACTTGATTTGAGTTCAACAAGCAAACGAGTTTTTAATCGCGACGAGATTGCAGAGTAAATTCCAGATTCCCAGGCCACCCTCCGAGACTCCGTGTTGCCTTCATCCCATGTTCAACCACTCGTCACCTATCCCGTCTCACGTTTTAAAATTTAAATTCAGAAACGAGTTGAATTATTGTAAGAGAGAGTTGCAAATGAAAACACACACGCCACGGACAATGGTTCTTTAAAATGTGGGCTGGGTGATTGCTTCTGGTGGTGTAAATAGTTGGAATAATTTGTAATTTCCGTCAAGGAATAAAGGTTTTGGTGGAACATGGACTTATTGTTGTTATCCCATTGTTGCGACTTGATGAGCGTGGTCGTGGTGGTGCTATTCATTCATCATCAACTCCACATTATACATGACAATGCAGGAACAAGTAGAGTCAGGATGGGGCACACGACTAACCCTTAACATGAAGGCTTTCAGTCACCCTACGAAAGCCTGGCAGAGGATTCTCCACTGAAATAGTAATCTGGACACACACGCTTCCATCCAAGGGCCACGTGCGTCCCACCAACATTTACCATTCTCTCCCAACTTCCGATTACAAGAGCAGATGCAACAATTTCGCAGTGAGCCTCCAAATACAACAGTCGTAATTCCGATATTATGATTGCGATCCTTAATCCATCCTCAGCAAAACATTTCACAGACTTCTTCTTCCACTTTACATGGAGGATTTATGCTCATTAATATTTAGTATGACAACACAACTAACCAACTCCTTTGTGAAACAGTGGATGTTTTGTGGACAGTGGGAACAGCGAGAGAGATCCCGAAGATCAGAATCGCTCTTTGATGGCGACTGTCTGCTTACGGAGCGTGTACCCGTAATCTTGTGGGAATAGGCAAATTGAATTTGCTTGGCTGCCTGGTACGAGAAATCAATAGGTTTAAACATCCATGGATAAAATTGAATTTGCTTGGCTGCCTGGTACGAGAAATCAATAGGTTTAAACATCCATGGATAAAATTGTGCTTAGCCCACGCTCTGCCTGAGATTTCATAATACATGAAATGTGTAGGCCCATAATGCTTCTCGAAAATAAAACGCGATACAGCGAGGAGACAGAAACCAGAATACATGATTTTGTTTTGGTTGGGGAGCCAAAAGTGGTATGAAATCTAATTACAACCCTTGACATTGACCCCATCCATTCGTGGCAGGCAGGGAGGAATCATCATACCAGATTATGCACTAACTCGATCGCCATCGTTCGTGTCAAGTGCATGAGGAAGAAATAAAGTTATGGGCGTTATGTGTGTGGCCCTGGCATAATAATTCGATTCATGAAAGTTTAAAGGAAAAAGAGAGGTGAAAGTTGTCATAAATTTTAATGGTTGTCTTCCAAGTGGTGGAGGGGGGCTAAATCATTCTCCTCGGAATAGAATGGACACTGATGTTTCTTCTGGGTTTCATAAATATGATGCAGTTTGATGCAGTGTAGTTTAGCATATGTACAATCGAAACCTCACCATCGCAGCTAAGAGATTTAAGAGTTTAGTCAGGTTGGCTTACCTTCGAGGCCTCTGTTTCTGGAGAGGAGGGCGAGGAGGACGTCGGGCGGAGGGTCGCCAGGCAGACTGGAGCCGTTGGTGCCACTCGGGGGGAGGAGTGCGGGGTGGTGGAGGGCCGAGTGTGGGCCGCCGTGAGCTTGTGGTGGGGGTGGTCGCAAGCCGAGGGGACCGAATGCCGAGTGGGGATGGGAAAGTGGGTGGTGGGGGTGGCCAGAGGAGCCCATCGTCAGTTCACTACTCCCAACCATGGCTGCACACATTGTCCTTCACATTCACGACCACGCATGAAATTTATTCATCACAATAAAATTGCACGAGATTTTAACAAATCTAAAGTTTAACTTTAGTAGTTTTGCGGATTTTATAAAATTCATATTTGTTGCAACTGACCAAACTTAACTTATGCTTCACAAATTCACGCCATAGTATCTTCGATTTTACTAATACGACGTCCAATCTTAATTCTTAAATACAAGTCTTAAATTATTGAAAACATTTTGCGAGAAGACGTCGTCTCACGTTAATTTTTCTTCTGTTTCGCCTACTTTTGTACTTTCACCTTGAAGAGGGGATAATGGAGGAAATAAGTAGTCTGTCGACGACGAAGAAGAACCGCAGTCAGCCTGGAGCACAAGTGACGAGGAGTGAAAAGACCAGGGACAAAGTTGAGATCTGGCTGTGGACGAGGGTTGTGAAAGGACTTTCTCCTCTGCGATTTCTCCCTGCAATAAAAGCTCCCATAAAATTCTCGCTCTCTCCTCGCCCACCAAACACGGAGAGCTTTCCTTCCTCCAGCCCAACGAGCTTTCCCTTCCCTTCTTTCCACTGAGGAGCGAGTGGTTGTCATCGTCGTCCATGTGTGTGCAGTGCATGGAGCAATATCCATCCGTCCAGTCCTCCCATTATTATTACCATTGCGGAGCATTAGCAGCTTGGGCTTTCCTTCCTACAACGACGCTTTTCGCCTCCTCGACATGCCTGATGCCAGGAGAACAACGCTTTTCTCCGTCTTCAAAGAAATGCATGCACAAACTTGCATTATTCCACTCATTCCTCGGGAAGAATTGTATTTCGTGCTGGCCAAATATTATTTACGAATCTTCTCATGAGTATTATTCCAGACGGAAATTTCAAATGGAAAGTACATGTCGATTGGTTTGAATAAAGTGAAAATCGTGGTTGAATTCGTGGTCATATTCCAAGTCATATCTTAAGATTTATACGGTTTTGAACGTGTGTGGGATTAAGTCGTGGCTGGTGGATGTTCCAAAGAAAGCAAGAATTGATTGCTTGAGAACAGTACTTGAATTCATTGGACATGTAACAATTCGAAATCCGAAATTCAAGCGATTCGGGTCATCCGGATGGAGATAGTGGTGGTGGTGGGAGCGTATATTTGCTCTCTCTCTCTGCTTGCCTTTGGCTGGTCCATTTAGAAAATTGGATATTTTGAGAGGGTTACTCCGACTCAGGAGGAGCTTGACGTTGGCTGGGAACACTTTCTCCGCCCGATTTCCCCTGCCTGGCACACAAACCCCAGCTCATGCGCCCTACCAAGCAGACCAAACCAACCAAAAAGGAAAATGCATTTATTCACTCCCAAATATTATTTCTCTTCAGCCACACTTTTCACAAATGTGGCTGAAGAAATCTGCAACTCCTTACTTACATATTTGCATCCTCATTTTACATGTAGAAAAATTGCCAATTCCTGGAAACACATTATACAAGCCAAGCAATTTGTAATTATGGTGCGTTAGCATTTTATGGCAATTACATTTCTTGAATTTGCACCTTGATTCAGCAGACACATTAGAGAATATTAGAATTTTTATAATGCGCTCCAAGTGTACACACGTCTGCACTTTAAGCTTTTCCATGCGAAACTCTTCATAAAAGTATTACTACTCTCGCCACGATGTGCAATGGCAGAGACCTCAGAAACACGAGACGCCTTAGATGAGGACACGGCGTAGGTCTCTCTTTCTCAGATTGTAACGTATCATTTATTTCCATTCTTTCCCCTTCTTCGTCGTCGCCCCATTCGTGCAGACTCGTTTAAATTCTTCCATATGCACCGAGTTGGCAATTTCTCTTAAAAACGAGAGAGAACAATAATAACTTTATTTCAGCATTTTACACCTATTCGTTGTCATTTCTGAATTTTTTATGTTTTCATTTTTCCACTCTCGCCCAGAGACGGCGAGGAATCAGAGAGAGTTGGAGTGTGTCAGAGACTGTGGAAAGACGAGTGTTCAGATGAGGAGAAGAGGGAGACATTTACATTTGTTGTCTTTGCGTAATTGAATTATAAGGAGACGGAGAAAGCATAAGTTGAGCACCTCATTTGTATCTCTGCATAATATGCAGAGTCAAAGGGACGATGCTCCTCATTTCCCCGGGGATAGACCCAGGCAGAGATTGAGGATATGCATGCATGCCAACTAAATCAACACTCTCCTCTAAAAAATCTTGCACTCTTGTTCAAATCAGGTTATACAAAACGAATATAAAGAAACCAATGGCACAGAAATGTGGGCTTAATTGTTGTTCTTCAAGACTATCTACATTGGAACGCGAAAGCCTGCAATATGTAAAAATAAGAAAACGTCATGATGAGATTACTTTTTGGCAGATGTGTGATCCTTCCACGGGTGGAAATGAAGCAGGAAAAAGCTTAAATGGAGAGGATTTATTTAATCACTCTGGATAATTAATAGTGCAGCGTTATAATTTACACCCGCATTTCCAGCACCAGTGGAACTATGTATGCATACAATCGTGATTCATTTCTCTGCCTATGATGACCAAGCGGCAGACGGCGATGTAGCATTTTTGGAGGATGTTTCATTTCGTATCTGATGACGGTGATTTACAAATCGGGTTAACTTTTGGCCAAATGGTGTTGTTGTGTCGGGGTCGCTGCGGGAGATCTTTGTTGCCCGGAACGGGATGGAAGATCATCCGAAAATTCGGACGAGATTCTCTTCTTCTCCGCCGTCGTCATGATGAATGAACCCGAGCCCGCAGAGTCCCCCCCGCAGGGCTGAATTTCCTCCGGAATCACTTTCACAAATGTTATCCTTTTCTAAATAAGCGGCAGGCAGGCAGGCTTGCGGATGCGTAACAATGTAACAACAACTTGAATTAGGTGACACATTAATTGCAACGGGACGCATGGGACGACAACCGGCGAATGAGAGTCCAAAAAATGGATGGAAACCCGTAATTATTTGTTGATTGATTTAACAAAAACCTACAGTGCAGACTCCATATAGCCCGAGTCAGGGGCATAGTCCCTGACTCAATAAGTCAGAGCCCGCTTCTAATTTTTTTCCGAATTGACCGACATAATATCACCAACTTCCGCGTTGTGGATGGTTAAAAGTTTATTAGATAGTTTCTACCATTTGGTACCAAATTTTTGAATTAGTTACAAATCATGTGCCTTGACCACCATGACCAGTGGGCTTCTTTAACATCCTGAAGTTCTAAGCTGTATGCATGTGCTACCCAGCAGTGGTTTTCACTTTTTCAGCCTCCATATCAAATTTCAGCTCAATATAACGATTTTTAAAAATCAGTATGGGTCACCCCATAGGGTCACTCTGGTTGCACTTTGCTCACTTTTAACTTCATATTCTTTAATTAGAAGCCATTAAATATAATTGTGCCGGATTTCAACTTTTTAAAGCAATTTCTAAAAATCGGTATGGATCACCCCATAGGGTCGCTCCAGATAAAAATTTTACCAATATCATCTCATATTCTTTCATTAAAACCCATAAGCAACCTCTCCACCAAATTTCAGTTGGATATGATGGTTTTGAAAAATCGGTATGGGTCACCCGATAGGGTCACTCAAGATGAAAATTTTTCCAACTGGAAGTCATTTTTATCTATTAGGAGCCATTAGCAACCTCTGTACCAAATTTCAGCTCTCTACAACAATTTTGAAATTTTGGTACATAGTACCCCACCCACTCCGATGACCCCCACCGGTCAACCACTGGACCGATCACGCCCATCTTCGAACTCGTTTCCTAACTTTGTCCAATATGTGTATGGTAAAAATTTCAGGTCAATCGGTTCAGCCGTTTTGGCTCTATCGTGCCGGACAGACAGACAGACAGACGGACGGACATGACGGTTCCATAAGCCCTGACTCGGGCTAAAAAGTCGACGTGCAGTTTTTGCCTGAAACAAAGCAAGCCAAATATTTTGAGTTCATTCATTGATTTGATGCATTGATTTGAGTTGGCTATATTTTTTGCATGTCGACTATACAATTCTAACTGGAACGTGTAACAATTTTCCAAAATTGGAGTAGATTTGATTATGCAAATAAAACAGCACGATTACGTAATCAATTATACTTGGTATACGAAGGTTTATTGTGAAACTTTTAAAATTTGCAACAATCATATCGGCGGAATTAACATGGAATTATGAAATTGTTGAAAATAATGAATAATTGATTTTTGTTGTGTAATCAGCACACGGAGAGTAAATTGGAGCTCACGCATTTACAAAGTGCATGCCATCACCAAGAGGGAGAAGACTGCAAGGTGAGCAAATCTCTGTGCCCCAAAGAATTAATGTAATCATTGAAGCGATCATAGCAAGAAGAACGTACTAAATTTTCGATAATGACTTTTTTTATTAATCCAACGAACTTGGAAAGTCTTGGATGGAATGGAACAACTAAATTTACTCCACTTTGTGCACACACACCTGCGCAGGTGTGTCCACAAATGGAGTAATAAATGGCTCTCAAGTGGCCAAGGAGCAGGTACTTATGCACTTATTAAGTGCTTTATAAAACGATACTGGTTTGATTTGAGGGTTGCCATCCAATAAATTATCAACTTTAGCCATCAAACTCAATAAAAACTACAAAGCGTGCACTTACATAGTTGAGATCAAAGCCTGCATATTTGCACACAAACCAACAATAAATAAGTGTGCATGTACAAAGTAAAGTAGGGTTGCAGTAATGTGAATCCGGTTGGCAGAAGGATGAAGGAAAGTGTAAAAGTTGCATGTACAGCAGCCAGACAAGAAATGAAATAACGGCGAATTATCAGAGAAGCCGCACGATGTGATGATTTAGAGTTGCATGCACTCATTCTCTTGATAAAGTTTTGTTCTTGATGTGGTAAAATAAGAGTTTTGCATGCATTTGCATAATTTTGGATGCATTGTTGCAAAAGGGCTGGGTGGTGGGTGAGTGGGTGAGCCAACCAACCAACTGAACTGATGATGATGACAATGAGCAGCAAAATCAGATCAATGATACCAACATTTAACAATATTATTACATAAATATTAATGACTATTTTAGCCAACAGAGAGAACACAATGGCTTCATCCATTGTTGGATTGGATGCAGTGTGTGGCTTGCTTGGTTACTTATGTCGTCCGACTGATATGTATCAGGTAATAAACTACTACTCATGTGCCACCATATGTACACCATCCTGATGACCTACCTTCCTTGCTGCCTGAGTTCATTAGCATTTAAAAGGACGACCAAAGATGTGAAATCTGCACAAGAAATAATTATGCATTGTTGTAAGTGCAGGATTAAAATAAGTTGGCAGCATTCGCCCAATCTTGGTTCAGTCGACCGTTGAGTTCCAACTTGTCAAGACCACCACTGATTTCGACCAATTTTTTTTACTCTGTACATAGAGGTGAACCGGTGGGTGAGTCAATAATCAGCAATGTTGTCCTCTCTTCTCCTCCTCCCTCGCGGCGCAGTCCTTGCGGTTGGAGTTGCCCTTCTCGTCGCTGTCGTGGTGGATGGCGGAGTCCGAAGGTCCCCAAGAGCAGCCAAGCCTCAACATCATCAACTTCTCATCACGGAGTACGTAAGCCTTCCCCAGCCGGCCGTCAGTCCTCTTTTGCTGGCTGCCTCACCCATCGCCACGCCCGTAATTATCGGCCAATTCACTGGCTTGGCTCACAAAGTGTCCTCAGGAACTGTGACTATCAAGGTAGAAATGAAATCCAATACCGAAAATAACTACTTAGCTAAACCGAGTGTCGACGAAAACCTGATTCGAGAACACGTATTATTTTGGTAATTATTTTCCAGGATTCGAGAACGATTTCAATCAAAAACTTTAACTACGATGGAGCCGGGCCGGACGCTTACTTTTTGGTTGGAACGGGAGAGCCAAATGCGCAGGGAAGGAAGATTCCTAATGAGAACGGAGGTTATGAAGTTTTGGAGGGGTATGAAAATCAAGATATCGAATTGCTCCTCCCAGCCGACTTGACCTGGAAGGATGTCGACTACCTGTCCGTCTACTGCATCTCCTTTCACCATAATTTTGGGTACATCCAAATCCCAAAGGGAATCAATGTCCCAGAATACCAATAATTTAGCTCTATGTATAAAAATAAAAAGTATGGAGTAAAATTTAACGAGAACATGAAAATTATAGGATGATTGAGACATATGCATGACAAACTATAAGCTAAATATTTTGAGATTTGTCAGACTGAATAAATTTATTTTGTAACACCTGCTCTGTATATTTCGCCTTCTATTTGGCTACAAAATAGATTTTAGAGCTGCCATTGTTTAAAAATAAGTTCCTGAGGTATATAGTAATTTAGCACGCTTTTTTGTACCGGTTTCTTCAGCCTTCTATTTAGCAGCACTGACATTTCCTACCCTTGTTTCCGAGATAAGTAATAATTTTTAATGGCCACGTTTGGGGAGAGGGTTAAGAAGTTTTAAGAAATCCTCGACTCTTTAAAAATTCCCATCGCTCACCAGGTTTCGTGGCGAGAAAATCTTGAAAATCTTGAGAATACTTGGTGGATCCGGTTCCTGAATAAATGGTTCTCCATTTGTCCTCTTCCCAGTTGTAGGCAAATTCTTTGAGCAGTGTAACAATCCGCTCTTGTTCCTGCATCATAAAAATGACAAAATCTTGGATTTCATAATCACCAATAATTAATTATGAACATATTTAGTAATGAATATTTCAATCCTAACCGGAATCAAATTAAGCGGAACTGGTCGAACCAATCGTTTGTCATCTTGATTGAGTTCCAAATTTTTGAAAATGAAGACTCCACGAATTGCGAACCAACCGCCATAAACGGGATGAAGGGCAACTCCTGCCAATTTCTAGGGGTGGATTTAAAATTAATGCCTCCACCTGTCCACACATAATACGTAACAGACCAACTCGGCTTACCGATTCTTTTGCAAAGAGATCTTCCTGAATTTTTAGTGGAAGCTTGCTTTTGTGAAAGTATTGCACCACTCCAGCAACATGAGCTGCCGTCTGGACAAGAATTTTGGGCTTGCGACTAGGGTACAGTTGAAAGTCATGGATTGACTCAGTTTCAAAGTTGAGTGCACTCAAATCCTAGAAAAAAGAAATAAACAAATCAAGTTGACCTTACAGTTTAAAAAAATTAAAAACCTAATTTTGTGGTACTTGTTGAGCCAGTTTAAAGCCATGCACCATAGCATCGTCAAGAGGATCGTTGATCTCACGATGCGGATCTTGACTCAAGACAGAGTGTAAGTAGGGAAGAACACACTTTTCAAACACGTCAGGACCAGAGAGTACCACAAAGGCCACCGTATTTGGAGGATAATCCAGTGCAAAGTGTGAACCCACCAGCTCATTGTACCATCCAATCTGAAGAAAAAAAATAACCATTTGTTAGTATCATCTACAGTTTTCTAAAAAATTAAAAAAATAATATGAAAGTAAAAAATTTCTAACCAGAAATGGGTACGACTCGAGTCCAACGGGAAGGAGGATTTTGTTAAAAACGGCATTAATTTCTGGAAAAAATTCCCCATCGACCCCATCTCCAGTCGCATTCGAGAGAGACATAGTTTTCTAGGAAATTGATTCGGGAAAGTGATTCCGGTTTGGACAGAACAAGCAACAGAGATCAGAGATCACACTGCAAATATGAAACAGGCAATTTAATGTGCGATCACTACAATTTAGCAATAAAACCAAACCGAAGGAGGAAGGAATTGATGAAACTAAATATTACCTCGTATTGTGAATATATTCTCTAGCGAGACAAGAGATCAAAGTCCAGTTGCAAAAAGACGAGCCGGTAAAATAGTAGATTCTCAGTTAATGTAATTTAACAATAACACTAATTTAGGATTTTGGGAACTTTTCGCACACGTTAATTTTAACTTAATTGACAGATTAATAATTTAACCGATGACTTACTTTAGCTTATTCCATGTGGAGAAAATGTGTTTTTATATTCTACTGCGACCTTGCCTTCCATTTGCCGCCTCATTGCTGCTGGAGTCTCACAGTCTCACTGGAGTTTCGTGTGGAGAAAATACTTACTTGTTGTATTTTGTATTATGTAATTTTTGTTTTCATGTATTAAATGAAAAAATCCAGTCGAAAAAGTCGAAACAAAATCGAGGATCAGATCTAACAGCATTGGAAATGGACGAATTGACTGTAATTTTAATGGAAGTTTGAATGGAAATTTTAACCAACCTAATCTACGAGTAGGTTGGTTAGAATTGGTTTTTCGGAAGTGGAGAAAGTTAACTTGGGAGGGGGTCACGTGATATCAATGATATCATGTTACCTTAATATAATAATTGTCTTTATTTCAAAATACATTATGTGGATAGGATTCATGAATTTGCATGGACAGATCGTAGAGTAAATCTATGTTTGATTCAGTCCAGAGGATCATTCGACTCGTTCCCAATCACACAAGTTTTCTCGAAAATGTTGTTGCAATTGGTGGAGTTGTCGTCGCTCGTCTCTTCGTACAAATTTTGGATAACTGTGGCTGAAAACTTGTTGCGACAACCCGACAAATTCACTCCAGTAAAGACGCAGCTAGCAAACTTGCCGTCGTCCCCATCAAGATTTGCAATTGCATTGAACGTGGTGGAATGCACGTTTGTCCCTTTCGTCCCATTTTGTAGAATCAGCGAGTTTCCTGTCAACATTTGTGTAGAAACGCTCCGGATCTGGGTCCCTGCACTTCCAGTTTGGACGACAATCCCAGATTTGGAAAGTCCTGAAATAAACATTCAGATGTATCAATTCGGTCGACTCGTATTAGAATATCTACTTCAATTGTACCATTCAAAGCCACGCTTTTTACAACGTTATCATTTCCACCAAGGATTACACCTTTCTCTCCATTCGAAATTACGGTAGAGTTCAGCACAATATTATCCCCCTTGATTACCGCTGCAACTTTTGAAGCTCTGATAACCACTGATTGTATCACGTGATTGTTTCCCCTTATTTTTACTCCCGTATCGTTTGATTGAATCACGAGAGATTTGACATTCCAGGGGCGACGGTGCGCTGTTATACTGATCCCCGTCCCAGTGGAGGAAATTATTGTCGAGTGACGCTGGAAATCCTCCGACTGTGTCCCAAGCAGCGTTGTGGCATCATTCGACGTAGCATTGTCTTTGTCAGTATGATCTGGGAGAACGAAATCGCCAACGTAGTCGACTGGGAGGAGAGTGACCACATCGCCAGGCTTGGCCTTCTTGAGGGCGGAGGTGAGTTCGCTGGACGTGTTGGCGTACAAAATTTTTGCCGTCGTGGTCGTCGTAATTGTAGAGAGCAGCAAGAGCGTAAACGACAAGTTTGATCGCCACATTGTTTGCGATTCCGAAAATTTCCTATTTTCCTTAGAAAGCTCGTGAGATATTCTTTCTTTCTGCACACAATTTGTGATTGAAATTGAACACGTAATATGCTGATGACATATTAAATTAGTCAGAAATTCATCCTGGCAAAAGCTCATTAAGTTAATTTATGTGGATTGCGCATGGAAGGATGTCCTTATGAAATGTCCAATAACACGACACGACTTATAACGTCCATCTGCATATACCTTGTGGTATGTCATTGTCATTACAATTTATAAATGTCACTAAAAATGAGCTAAATTTACGACACGATTGAGCAAAAGCATAGCAAAAGTTATAGAAATGCACAAAAGAGACGATGAGAATGGTATTTGAATGCCATGATGCCCCATAACCCTTTCACGCAATAATGTTTTTGAGATCTCTCCTCTCTGAATCTCAACCTGCTAAATGTATGCCACGTACACGTCCACACATTCACGTTGAAATCGCTTCAACAATACAATAGGACACTTTATAATTTTAAATCTAAGCATAAAACCTAACGGAAATTTACATCTTCGCCTCAACTTTAAACCATCAAATCAAAGTAAAAATAATAATTTGTAGTTGTTGTAACTTGTGTAAAATTGTGCAATTGATTGATATTGTACTTTTTATATCAATATTGCTTGATTGAGGGTGAAAGTAGTGTCGTTCGTGAAGGGATAGCAATGTTAAGCTAAAATCCAACCAAACTTTAAATCCTTGTCCTCCAGTCGGTTTAAGTCGTCGTGCATAGTGTGGCAATAAGTAATCTGTAATCTTAACTTTTCACCATTTTTAATACTTCCACTCTGTCGGAGGTTAAGTCTCTGTATGTAATTAGTTAGAGCTTAAGTGCTAAAAACGTCCATGATGCAGTACTCATCGTCTTCTTATCACTACTCTTCCTCACTGAGGAGGAGGGTGAGACTCTGTTTCGCCTTTGTGGTCGTAGTGGCCGTGTTGAAGGGGGCGGAGGGTCAAAGGGTCGCCCCAGGAGTGCCACCACAACATTACAACCAGCACGATCCCAACCAACAGTTTCAACATCAGCAACAACAGGTACACGACTAACCAAATTTTATGTACATTTTGATTTGGAATATTCATTTCTTGTATGGTTTCTAGTTCCAACAGCAACAAGGGTTTGGTCAGGGTCATCCTCCACCTCCTCAACAACAGCACCACCAACAACAACAATTCCAGCAACCCCCCGCACCTGGTGTCCCTCCACAACAGTTCCAACAACAGCAGCACGTTCCACACCAGCAAGTCCCAATTCAACAACAAGGTCATGGTGCACCTCCGCCCCAACAACACCAGCAACAACAAGTCGCGGCGAGTGGAGGTCACGGACATGAGCATGGAGGTCAAGCTCCATTCTCAGGTCATGGTCAACCACTTCTGGACACTTCTAATATTGGACAAGAGAGACAGTGAGTTGTAACGTAAATACTAACTGATCAGATGAATGGGATTTAATACTGTATTTTCATTACAGGCATATTCAAGAGCACATGGATGTACCCATCGGTAAAGAAAGAATTAATTTGTTTGCACATTGCACTTATCAGCTACCTTTCACATTACTTTTTCATTTTAGACACATCACAAATGAGCGAGCAAGAGTTACAATTTCACTATTTCAAGATGCATGACGCCGATAATAATAATAAGCTCGACGGTTGTGAACTAGTGAAAAGTTTGATTCATTGGCACGGTAAGTAAATAAATGCCTTGCTTGAAATATCTCGACACATCTGTGCATATGTATTTTATATGTGCATTCAACAGCTTGTCTTTACATCCTTTTTTATAAGTCTGATAATTAATAATTAACAATACGTCTAACGAAAACTATGCAAAACTGGCTCGGGTCTTGATTCATGTACTGTCCTATTTTGACTTCTTAAACCTTTCCTTTCGCTTCCAGATGCGTCAAATCACGACCATCGTGGAGGAACGCCCGTGCCCGAGCCTAAAGTATTCAGTGATGAAGAATTGATAAATATGATCGATCCCATACTCAAAAACGATGATAAGAACGGTATAATCAGCCTACTTGTTAAATACATAATATATAAAACTTTCAAAAAGTTGTACAAACTGGAATTTTTATTTTCTTTCAGGTGATGGGTTTATCGATTATGCCGAATTTTCATTGGTCAGTTTAACACAATATTTTTTGTTTGTTTGTGTTTTTACTAATTTCCCCGTTTTGCTTACTACCTCTTTATTCATTCGAAACAGGCACAAGCACAGGCGCAAAAAAACGCTCAGCAGCCGAAACCCCACTAAAAACTGGAAATATGGCAAGAACTGAAAAAATCGACTGAACCATGCAAATGACGACGCTGGACGATCGGATATAAAATTGATTATTATGACATTTCCTTCAACGATTCCTATTTTAATTAATTACCGTTTCTTTGAAACCTTTTATCATCCTGCATTTTAACTAACTTACGACTTTTATCAAGTTTGACATTTAAAAAATTTGAAATATAGTATTTTTTTAATTGGATGAAAATTATGTGGAGTTGGTAAATAATAAATTATCATTACGAGGGTGCTTTTTATAACATGCGAAGAAAACGTCTTACTCCATGCTGCACTCTTTCATCATACGTAATAAAAATGCCCGCAAAATGTCAATCTTTGTTTTTTACTTCGTTTTTTAGACCACGAGAATGGCGAATCCTCTGCGGAGGATACTTATCTGACTGATAACCAAATGGAGACCGTCGTGGACCAAGTGTTAGAATACGATGGCAATCAGGACGGCTACATTTCTTTCGGCGAATTCAGAAATGCCCAAGTTGCTCAAGCTCACGAGGAAGAACGGAAAGCAAAAAAGTGTACGACGTGCGGAGATTGATTTTCTCTGCTCTGAAAATTCATCGTGTCATTTTGTGAAGTGTATGCATGTACAAGTGAAGAGAATTACAACAATTTTAAATAAATAGTACTGGACGTTTGAAGTTCATTTGGTCCCTAGATGAATGCTTGACATACAAAAAGCGTCAAACTGCACAAATGCTTAATTTGAGTGAATGAACAAGTTATTTGATTTCATTATTGACATCAAGTTTAGCTGACAGCCTTCAAATTTGAAACTGTTCGTGCTGCAGTTAAAAAAAAGAAAGTTGAGCGTGCTTTATGTTTAATTCAACACGCTTCATTATTTTGCTGAGTAAATTCAACAGACGACGATTCAATATTAAAGATATGAACACGTTGCATCTTATCAACTACCGAAATTTTCGATATCGTAGAGAGTGCGGACGGCACGCGAGAGTTCACACACATGCACATTTATTTTGTTTATTATTAATTTTCATGCAACCCGATAACGTTTTAAATTAAGAGCATGGTCGGCAAAAATGGGTAATTAATTGGCTTCTTGCAGTTAACTTGAACCTGTTGTGCTGTGTAAATGTTAAAAAAAATCTCGCACTCATTGTCAGGCCAGGACATTATTATTTTCATACAGTCAAAAGTCGGTATTTACACATTACAAATACTTGTACATGTAAATATTCTGTGTTTTTATCCTGAGCGAAATATAAGTCATATTTATACGAAGCCATTTCCATTCGCAAATAATTTCGTAATTTGACTTGTTTGTTATGATGAGAGATGTAATTGTTGTGTTGCTTGCTTGCTACCAAGTCACAAGTTGCTATACTTGCTCTTGTGTTATTTCTCCATTTTGGGACATGTGTTCTTCACAATAAAAACGAATTAGTCATTTCCTTCAGAAAATAAAGCATTTAACGCACACAATGTATTTACCTACGTCACAATGGTTTGATAGCTTCATATTTTTATGTCTGTTGCATAAATGTTGGTTGGTGTCACATTGTTATTCTTTCTGCAATTCTGTGGTCAATACTAGAATTGTGCGTCATCCAGGGTACGAAAACATGCATAGTATACATGCATACTTACGAATTACGATTAGAGAAACTAGAGATGACCAAATTCATTTACCTGCCTCCACATCATCTACACATTGACACCGAAGCGACGCTTCTGCATGCCTTCTGTCATCTCTTGTCTCAAATGTCACGTTGGAAATCTCTTCATGACGCATTTTCATACACGACTACTGTATGTACTTATCTATGTAAGACGCACTCAAGTAAATAGTTTTTATGAGAGGTAATCCAGAACATAATTCCACCTGGTCTCCGATCGGTCAGTTGATAGTGCTACCTTGTGATGGACCTAAAAATATGCAAGAGGTGGACTGGATACAATTCCCTTGGACGTGGGAAGGAATGAATGGGGGGAAATCGGAGCTTATCAGCACGGCGAAGAAGAGGAGCTCATTGCTCGACGATGGTGTCATTCCCAGACACCGGTGAATCAACCTCTCGACGGAGGATTCATTGTGAAGGAAAACGTGTGAATGTGGGTGTCATGAACTCCAGAGGGCAAAAGGATGAGGATTGGAAGGTATCAATTACACAAGTATCAGAGCAATGGATGGGCAATCGAGCCAGTTCTCACACTATCCGATCCACCTCCGACACAACATACGTAGCGTGCTCTGAGCTAGACTGACTTCTTCGGGTACAATTGCTATTGTCACCCGGCGTCGCAACGATGAACATGACCCAGTGTCACTTTCCCAAGATAATAAAGTCGAGGAGCTGTGCTTAACGTGGTGAATGGTCAGAGAAGAAGAGGACAGTCCAACTTTTATTGGTGGTGATGAACCTGACACCTGAGAAGGTGGTGGTGGCGTCATATTCGGTTCCATCCACCATCCATCCAAACTAATTAATTACTGCTCCAGATCTTTGGAAATGCTTGGGAGTGAGCCAAGTCAGCCTACCATTCTCACACTTTCTTTCTCATGTTGTCCACAATAAGCAGTAATATGTGCTCGGATTCCTATTTACTGGTTAATAGCCGCACTGGAGACGATATTTGTTGACTTGTGATGATAAGTTAGAGGGCTTCGTATCATGCATTTGAACCCAGCTCTCTCTGTACATATGCATTTCGAGTGATATATGGTGCACCAGGTAATGGCGTTTAAATGGTTTTTACTGGTATGCACAAGTTTTATCAGGGAAGAAAATACATATCCCGACGCTTTTTTTTCAGGGCGAATTAAGTTGAACATGAAACAAATGTTGGCTCAAAATTTGTGTTACATAATTTTCAATTGGGAAGTCCTACATGACGATTGTACGTAAATAAGCATGCACATATCTACAATGTTGACTATGCAGTGGAATGAAATAATTGCATGTGTCGATTCTTGATTCCTGTGGAATACACCACTTGACTTACGGTACAATTCAGGATAATGATTTATGAACATTTCACACGTTTTTGTTTCAAAGTGTGAGGAGAAGCAGGCGACGACGAGGAGGAAAGGGAAACACTTATTAAATACATACATCCACACCACTTTACGTAAACTTGAGCAAATACACAGACATGAATACAATGTGCCAATTATGTATCTTTGTGCAGTTCGCATTTCACATGCAGAAGAGAAAAGTTGTGGGCAGACTGGTGAAGAATTACTTGAAAAAGAAAACCTCATAGTAAACATACCCGCTCCAATTCTTCTGCACTATTTCCTCTTTAATTGGCTCAGTCTGCAGGTGCAAATTAATGCAAAATTTTTGCAAAGTGGAAAATCAGTCCAAGATAATAGATTATATTTAGTTAATTGGATATCGTAGCATTTAATTGGTATGCATACTCCTTGGACGACTGGAGAGAATATGTAAAGTGAGTGGAGTTTGAGCAGGGGTCGAGTTTTTGCATATTGTAAATTTAGCGTTATCTTGGTCCGCATGTATCGAGATATGGTCAGTGCAAGAGGAAGCTATTTGCAGTCTTTGTGTGTGTATCACTCGAGGATAGGATAAAGTTACGTTTTTATCAGGATTGCATTGCACTGCTGCCTTTTCCTGGGCTTCCTCATCATTGGGAGTGCACATAATAAGCAGCAAAGTCTCAGGCAGCATGACAAGACAAGTGCCAAGTGAAGGAAATGACATGGATTTGCACATTTGCGATTCTCATCTTGACCAGAAATAACGTCATCCTTCACGAGTCTCATTATCCCTCAACCTCCTCTCCTACCAAGTCCCAGTCTCAGTTTCCCGTGTCGACGTTCCACTTGGTCGCACAATCGTCTCACTGCAAATTACTGGGCGAACTAGTCAAATCAAACTATTACAAAAATAGTCTCAACAAATTATCAAGTCCATTTACACACAATTGCTCAAAAACTTTATACTAATAATAATCTCAAAATGCAGCTCAAAAACGTGACCAGATTTTCTTCCCCACTCGTGCTCAAGACATTGATTCTCTGCAGTTTGTTCCACACGATGAGGACGATGGGCATAGGAAGAAGTGGTGAAAGTGGTGAAAGTTCCTCCTCCTTTGCCATGTACCAGCCACAGCAGCACCAGAGCGGAAGTAGAAGTCATCACCACGACAGCGACCTCCACCACCACCCTCGCGCCATGCTTTCCCCACCACCCACAGAATCCTCGTCCTCCTCCTTAGAAAACAGCGTCCAGTATCAACAGCTCTCCCGTCAGCGGAGAGGTCATCACCACCACCACGCCAGCAACAACAACGCCATTGTCCGAGCAAGCGTAGCATCCGGGGCCCAACGCCACTCCTCCAACTCTCATGCTCAGTTCAATTTCGCCCGCTCGGAAGGTGCGAGTGGTTGCCCAACTTGTGGCGCTGCCCAACAAAATATACAAACTGCCAACGAATTGTCAAACACAATTCCGGATCGAGAGGAAACGCTGAGAAGAATGCGCTTGGAAATGATCAAGCAACAAATCCTGAAAAAACTGAGGTTGAAAGAACCCCCGAAAGCAGTCGGGCGTCAAGATAACAATCTTCCCAGTCCCATAATTTTGGGCGACACGTTACCAAAACGGAGCGAATCCGAGTCGGATCGAGATGTGGAAGACTTTTATGGAAAAACGGAACAGGTCATCGTTTTCCCGCAAGACGAGGGAGTCAAGTGTCGTCCAGATTCGAGCAATCCGTCATCCTGCTTTGGTTTCAAGTTGCCAAGAGAAATTCGCTACGAAGAGATTGGAAATGTGGAACTTTGGGCGTTCAAGCTGCCCGATCCCAACGACGGGAAAGGTGACCAGTCCTTTTACGTGAGGCAGTTGGCAAAGAGAACGTCGTCGTCCTCGTCGGATGAACCAGCCGACGGGGGTGACTACATCGTCAGGGAGAACACGGGGTCACAAATGAAGGGGTGGATCTCACTCAACGTGACCTCCGTCGTCGTGGAGTGGATGCGTCGAGGCGAGTTTGAAAAGACTTTAGAGGTCGGATGTCTCACCTGCGCCCAATTCGACGAAGAAAGTGGTGAAGATTTAGGCAGCCCGATCGGCACTGAGGGTGAGGATCGACCCTTCCTCGTCTTCAACATGGCGGGCATGGTGCGCAAGAAGAGGTCTCGACGTCACATAAACTGCACGCCAAACATCACGGACTGTTGTCGCGAGCGGTTCGTGGTGGACTTTAAGGAGATTGGGTGGGACTGGATTATTGGGCCCCAGTCCTACGACGCCTTCTACTGCAAAGGGAGTTGTAGTCTGAGCAGCAGTGCGAGTCGGAGGGGCAGCATCCTCGCCAGATATCTCAACATGAGGGACGCCAACAATCAAACGGCAGAGTTGGTCCCATGCTGCACAGCCACGAGGATGAGCTCCATTAGTTTGGCGTACAATGATTGGGGCAACTACAACTCCAGCGTTCCTCGCAGACGGACTGAAACGTTGCCGAACATGGTCGTCGAGTCTTGCGGCTGCTTTTGATGACTCAAAATTTAGGTGAGCGGCCGGAATTTTAATGTTTTTTTAGAACTTTTATTGCTCGCTTCACATTGTTCCAACATTTTCATTGATTTTGTTACAATCAGAGAAAGATCAACTCTGCATCATTTGTTGCATAATTTTCTAATATTGCCCACTTGAGCACGCATTCAGTGTTGGATTTTGTACTAGGAATTTTTATGAGCCGTTTTATGATTTGTTTTATATTAATGGAGATACTAAATGTGATAACGAGAGGTTTAGAGCAGTAGCAGCAACATTGCAAACTAAACACGAAGCGAAATAATGCATGTGGATTGGTGTCCAGTTACGACTTTTACGATTTTAACCGTTTGCTGCTTATTCCTCGCTCACACCAACTTTTAGAGACTGGATTTTGCAATGTACTTATTCCAAACTCACACTTTTGTGTCCTTTCTTTTGTCCAGATCTGCCTCCTCCATTGTTTCATTGTTGAGAGAAGATGAAGTGGGAAGAAAAATGTATAAAAGTCACGCAAGCAATGAACCCATCGTCACCCGTGACCATGACCTCTCTTCTCCCCAACCCCATCACCAATGTCAAAACCAATAAACTCGTCAACACCGTCATCCCTCAAATTACACAACTCGCTACAAGATCACCAGATGAGATCATATCAACATCTCAACAACTAAACTATTTTGTGATACAATCGTCATCACCCTTGAGATTCGCTGTCCATGCGTGGTAGGTATTGACAATTGCGGCACAGCGACGCCATGATAATTCTAAGAACGTAGCTCCACATTCGACACAAGTCCAAACATTACGAATTTCATCCCGTCCTTTTGTACATATTTGTCCTCATTCCTTCCTCCGAGGTAACCTCCGCTCATTTGTAATGTGACAAGAACTGATGTGTGAATATCTAGTCGTTTCTTGTTTCAATTTTTCCCTTGTTTCATAGTTTGACGTAATTGTATCATAATCTGTATGTGAATTTAGAGCTCGTATTAATTTAGTCATTCATCATTTAGTTAGCACAGTATCGATAGTTATGTACATGAGATAAGTACGTATCCACGTAGAAGTGTCTATACCACGTATTTAATATAATTAACGATGTAAGATTACACCTAGGAAAGTAAATTAGGTATGAAAAGGTGAATGACTAATAATCCTTCTTTTATGTCTTTTTGTAATATTGCGTTTCATTTTACGAGAGGCAACCGCCTCTCCTCTATTTTACGACCCTTATTGTCTTATCCTCCATAATTTCGTTCGTCTCTATTGTCCGTGCATGTGTTTCAGTGGGTGCGGGTGAGGTAGTTGTCCTCCCAAAAATGCCGTTCTCATTCCCACAAGAAATGAATGAAATGAATGAAATGCACGAGTTTGATTCCATTTCCTGGATAATTCCAGGCAACCACCTCAAGAATACCAACACCTCCAAGAGACGGTCCGACCAATGTGCATGTGTAATTTGTAAATATGTATGTATCAATCATAGTTTGTCTCACTTCAGTATTTCTTAATTCTTAATTTCCTATCCATTGTCACCTTTGACTTTTGTTCCTCTTCCTGTTCTTAACATATTTGTATAATCTCCAACCTAAGTATGTATGACCGTACCTTATTGGTACTCGTTTTATATTATTGATAAGAACTCAACAACTGATGATAAAGTTTGACATGTTTTCAATTGTCTAATTTTTGATGAATGATTTTTGGTTGTATAATATTGTAGAAATTTAGACTGAGAACACAATAATAAGTATGAACGTTATCTACGATACAGGAAATGATAATCTGGCTGGAAGAGATAATACGTATTTATCAGGGATTTTGATACAAAAGTATGAATTAAAAATAAAAATCCTCTCTAATCTCAAAATGTTTGTATTTACTCCTTTATTTCCGTTTGCCTTTTGAAAATCAGGATACAAGTTTATTTTTTAAGTGCACAATTAAACTAAATTATATTACTGAATTAATGTCGCGATGCTGGTCAACAACATTTCATTCTTCCGTCTAGTTTAGTAGTAGATTTGCTTAAATTATTGATATTGTAGGATAACACACCTTCACATCATTCCTTATTAAACTTACATAATTGTCTTAATTAACTAAACATTTGAGTAATCTCCTTTTTACGAAATGGGTGAAAATACATTTTAATAATTTATATCTCAATTCTGGCGTGGAGAATGTAGTTTATACAAATCAGTCAAGTACAAATTATCCTGCTGCTGCGTGTCAAAATATTGTGTGGACAAACAATCGCTTAATTTCCTTAATTACGGGAAAATTTAACCTTACAAGTCTCGTCTTTAATTAATGAGCAAATATATATTATAGCTACTTGACAATTAATAAGGAAGAAGCCATCCTGCAGTTGATATTTGGTGTCATATTTAAAGGCAACAAAGGAGGAATCGATGGAATCATAAACACGTTTTGGGAGTATCTTATAATTAAACAAAAGTAATAACAATAATAATAGAACTAGAAAATAATAACGAGACGGAAGAATGATTAAAATGGAAGCGATTAACGTTATTAACGTCCACAGTAGTTGAATTAAGACAAATATTACATATATATGATTATTTGCAGATTATTCAATTTTTTGGATTATTAGTCTTTTTTGGGAGTGTCATCATGCACCGTCACAAAAACAATTAAGGGGTGGTGGCCTTGTCGTAAATTCCTGGTACACTCATTGGGAATGGCGATGATGAATGATGATGGTGACTGTGGGTGGTTTGTTGGGTTTGTTGTCGTCTTAAAGCAGTTGTACAACGAATATTCATCCTTAACTCTCACCAAACAATGTTTTCTCTCGTTATTGTGCAATGTGCGATTGGATTGACTGATTGAATTTATCTTGTACCAAACATGGGGGTGAATGACTGCGGTCCAGACTATTCATTTGGGAAGAAGGATTTATATAATAATTTCAAGAAGTAATTTATTTTAGGTTGGGTTTATTAATGTAGATACGTACCCTGTCAGCAGGTTTTTTGGGTGTAAATCTGGCCGCTAGAAAAAGAAGCATTTTATTTTACTATTTTTTTTCGTTTTAATCATTTTACTCATTGGTGACTAACCTTTATTCTGAACGGTAGTCCAATCCGCCTTTTTTGGCACGTGTGACATTGGTGAGTTGGTGTGACTGTCTCGCCCTCCACGACCTCCTCCTCCTTCAAGAGGCGGAAGGCTGTCGATTTGCCGCTTCTCCTCCAACTCTTGCATATAAGCGTCACGGTGAACTTCTTCAATTGTTTTAGGACCACCGACTTGACGTCGCGGCCTCCATCCGTTGTCTGATCGAAGTTCGACAAGATCCTAAAACAAGAACATCGTCGGACGTATTAGTCTCATTTAAATATCAATCAAGTCTCAATTTTAAAAATATTAGGAAATTGAAGTGCAAAGGTCTAACCATAATTGCGAAACGAATTCTGGATGAAATTTTCTTATCCTCCGATAATTTACTCAGTGACACAAAGACTTTGTCCATCCATTTTTCTTCTGGTCCGGGTTTACCTTCTTTTTTCGTCTTAACTTCTAACTCTTTCAGTTGTTCGTCCAATTTTTGCCCAACTGAAATGGTGATACTCTAGCATTTTTGGCTTGCAAATTTGTAAACAGAATTAATTTGTAATTAAATCACTTACTAGTCGTCAATAGTTTGCAGAGGGACTCTAATTTCTCATCATCCGGATTGGCTGTGAATAAATCGTAATAAATAAATAATAACAAATGACTATTGATTTATTTAAAACTAATTGATGGGCTTACAGAGTAATAATGCGACGCACGAAACCATAATTTTGGGAGAAAGCATTTGTAACTTGTACAATTCTCCGATGAAGCGTACATTTCCCAAAGCCCGTTTCCGCATGGAACTCTTCAACTCTTCCAATTCGAATTTTAAACTTTCTTTTTCCTCTGAACTCTCAGATTCTTGGATTTTCTTGAGTAAATTAGCAGCAGTATCTTCCTCTGTATCACTCCGTTGAAACTCGTGCTGGCACTTGTCAATGATTTGTTTCCGGAAGACGCGAGAGGTTTCGACAGAGGAGCTACACACGGCAGTTACCATTTTGGCATAGGCAGCAGAGAATGCTGGTTCATCAATGGCTTTTTCTACAAATTACAAGAAACATGTAATAATTTTACTCATGAATTTATGTCGTCCATTAGTTGTACTTACCGAATAAAACATTAATCACAGCGGCAATCCTTCCTTCCTTGTCTTGTAATGGGATACCAATAAATTTGACCATTAGTCTATCAAAATTCTCCGGTGTTAGTTTGTTCAGGATTCCGCGAGTGTCTTTAACTATGCCCTACACACAAAAGAAAAACGTAGAAACAATTTCTTATGATTACTAAGCACTGCTTAGTAAGCAGACATACAAGTCATACAACAGTCTACATGTCGTCTTAAGTTGTTATGAATTGAGTACCTCAATGATAAGCTCTTCCTCTGTTTTGGGTGTCTCGTCTTCCTTCTTCGTGGTGGAGGAGGAGCGTGCCTTGAGTCGGCCTGGTTTCCATGCGTTGGGGTCGGATTGCAATAGCTTCTCTGGGCCTTGAGGTCTTAAACTGACGAAATAGAAATATTAGAAATCCATGTGTTTCAGTTTCATGAGAGATAATTTTAAATGTGGTACTATTTAAAAATTTACCTTATGACCATTTTAGGTTCTCTCGACGCTGGTGGGGGTGGTGGTATGACCAGTGGACCAAATAAACCAAATCCGCCGAATGCGTTCCCATTACTGCTATTTCTGATTGAACCTCCGTAAAGACCAGAGCCGCTTGACCCATTGCGAGAGTTGCCGCGAGAGAGGGGTGGGATCAGTCCTTTGGGAGTGCCAAGTGGTTGGCCCTAATGTAGTTTACACAAGGATTTAGGATTTGCTACTTACTTAGATTGCAAAAAGTAGGCGCAAATGAGTGATTGGACTTACAAGTAGTCTCGTAGGACTCGTTGTTCCAGCCTCTTTGGCGAGTTCTAGGAATGATTCAGGCACCGAGAAGACGGACAAAGGCTGGTTGCCGATTTTTATAAGCAAATCTCGATCATATTTTTTGATGGGACTTTCTCCTGGTGGTGGTGTCGTCGTCATGTTGTAACCTTGTATCAGCATAATCTAGCGAGGGGGCACACGAGGAATGTTAGTCTCCCCCCAATCTCCTGTCCAATCCAATCTCAATTGATGGAACAGGAACCTCAATTTCCTTCCTTGTCAATCTATTAATCAAATTTAAAACTTGGTTCAAACCAAAACGTTTTTAAGAGTAATGATTGATGACGCACATTCCAATTTACGAAAGTTATGCAAGGAACTCAAATATGAATTGACGTTTAACTTATTGAACACCCTCAAAATGTGTGGAATGAAAACAGTGTCAGTCAGTCAATACGCTGTTTAGAATTTGTAGTTAATTTCTTTTTGTGAATTGAATTAAAATAATAGCAGAGTACAAGTGAGTAGAAAGCTGTTGAGTTGAGAGGTAGGTACGTAGTTAGTAAGTCTATTTCGTATATTTCTCTGCTGGTCTTCGTTTATAGTGCGTGGATCGAGTTAAATCTCGTGGGTTGAGAGGAAAAGTAGAAATAAATTGACGGACGACGACTTGGTGGTGACGTCGGTGTGGGGGCGGAAATGACGGAAAATTGGAGAAAATCGTGCTTACCCAGCAGAAGCAAAATATTGTTGCTTCTTGGCGAAAGGGATGTCGAGTCGAAGGAATAGCTTTGCGTACTTACTTAATAATTTAATGGATGGATTGAATTGACGAAACCTTGAATAATAGGTCTCTGTTGCACTGCCAAGTCAAAGTTACGTCCACTTGGTTCTTCTTGTCATTTAGAAAGGTGTGCAGACAGATTAGGCTGTGAGTATAAAGTGGCTGATGAGATGGGAAGGCCGAGCTGCAGTCAGTCATAAAGTGAATGGTGCTGGCTGGTAGCTAAAGTACAGAGACGGCATGCATTGGCCATTCCATTACAAAGACATCTCTCAGAGATATATAGCATCTGTTATACCCTCAACCCACACCCTCCACGTATCACATGAAGGGCCAACTTTGCTCCAAAATCCAACACATTCCACCCAAATTAGGCTCCAAGTTAAAGACAAAGTTTGAGGAGAGGAAGGGTCACGTGATGAAATTTATGAACCCTGCCTCCCAAAGTGGTGATGGTGGTTAAAGATTTTGTGGAATTTTTTGTTCGTCCATTCATAAGAAGAGATTCGTAGGGCCGGCGGCGGTTTACTTTTCCCAGACCTAACCTAACTAACCAAGTATCGACCTCTCACAAAATCTGCTCAACAAAGGATGATCAGTTCTTGCGGAAAAATCACTTCCTGGCTGATCGACTATGCTTTTTTGCTTCCATGCCTTTTTAACATGAGAGAGGTGCGAAGAAGTGACATTCCTTTCGTGGAATTAGTTGAATCTTTGTCTCGCTTTTTATTTACGCAATTTTGGTAAAAATGTACTGTATGTCTTATGTGGGGCTCATTTGGGAACCATACGCTGCACCATTTCCTTCAATTCGTCCAACTCGATCACGTCGTTCCCGTTCTTATCCAACATTTTGATAAGCATGTCCACATCGACTTTCTGCCCAGAACGCTCTTCCATGAATTCGGCCATCGTTACCATTTCATCCTGATGGTGTTATTAGGAACGATAGATTATTAATTAAGTTAATGAAATTATACTCGTGCTTTGATTTCACTGCTGCATGTGCACCTTTGTGAGGACGCCATCGCCATCGGTGTCCATTTCATTGAATCCCTGAACTGCTTTGTCCTCCTGAATATTCTGAATCTGCTTCTGGATGCCGTGCATTTCTTTCTTTGAGACCAAACCGTCTTTGTCCACGTCCAACTGCCTAAATGCTGCAGAAATGTCGTTCTCATTTGGTTCGGGAGCTCCTGTTTTTATTACCATGTTTTTTAAATGGTGTGCAAACTCGTCCTAAATTTCGAAACAGTTTCAAAATGAGTCACATTTTGTCCACGCACTAAAAACTTGCGCTATTTATTGTTTTGACACCTTTGACCAGAATCCATCGCCATCCTGGTCCGCGTCATCGAAAATCGAGTCCATGTCTTTCGATGTGGGCATAGTCGGAGGTCCTTTGGGAATTACTGCCTGGAATTCTGAAAATGAGATTTCGCCATCGCCATCCTTGTCGATCATGGTAAAAATAGTTTCCTTCTGAGTATCGTCAAGAATTTTGGAGCGGGGGTTATCCGGTCGATCAATTTGAGACAAATATTCTGCCTGTGGAGCAATAGAACAATTCGATAGTTCTGCACAATGGGATGACAAGAGCTAAATTATTATTATTACCAAGTTGAGCCCACCACTCCCATCCACGTCCTTCTCCAAGAACACAGCTACGGATTTGCCAATCACGGTTTTAACTTCGAATGGCGAAAGGAAATCGAGACCTTGAAAGGGTGAAAGTGCTTCGGATACAGTCTTGTCTAATTTTGAGATGACCTTTAAATATTGGGAGATGGTGATGTCTCCTGCGTCCTCGTCATCTTCACCTTCAGACTCGGAAGAGGATGCTGGAAGCTCATCCTAATAATTCATGATGATTAATCGTATTATTTCCGATTGTCCTTTTACGCCCACAAATATGTCCACTAAATCATATTAGCACGGACCTTGGTCAGTTTTCCATCATCATTTTGATCCAATCGGTCGAATGAGGCGACTACAGATTGTACAATTTTAATAGCTTCTCCCTCCAAATTCTGGAGTGCTTCCAAGTCGTGCTTATCCACGCGACCATCATTCTCAACGTCCAGGTGGCTGAGAAGCAGGGCTAACTCCAAACGAGACAAGGAAACCCCATTCTCTTTTAAATATTCAACAATTATGTCGTCCGCAGCGATGGAATTTCCCCTCCTTTCCGTCCACACGTTGTGGCGCTCTTCGTCCTCCACTATTTTATTCAAGGAAATTAGTACATAGAATTAGATAAGTAAGTAAGCAATATGGTGTTTATGAAAATAGCTACCACAGCCCTCGTCCCCCTTGTCGCAGAAGCCAGCGTCTTCCTCCCCATGAATCCCGGCACAAGTGACGAGCAGTAATAACGTGAAATGCACATGTAGCACTAACTTCATAGTTAATAACTTAAATATTTTATTCACTTTATTCCGGAATGCTGACCAAGTGGACAGGCACAAGTGCGAGAGAGAGAGAAACGTGGAAGTCATGATGTTTTACAGCTCAGCATATGCATCCGTATCTTATCTTTGTCACACAAATAATGTGATGTGATATGGTTTGCATTAATTGGGCCATCCTTCCAGATTATGTGTTGATGTGCGTAATTTTTATTATTGCAGATACAGATTACATATTAAGTAAGTACATACATAGATGGGTAACATTATAACTTATACTTGTAAGACAGAGGCGGGGTATTGGCTCAAGGAATCCGTTATGATAAGATGATACGCTCCACGGGCACTGAAAGAATTTTTTTTCGTTTGAAAATACCTTATATTTAACTTTAGCTTTGAACTGCGTGTCCATACCTTGGCGAGGTCCCAGCCCCCACGATGATGGGAGAATCGCACTGCGTGTTGCAGCTGGACTTGCACTGACACGGCAATCCGACGCAAGGACAGGCCTCAACATTTCGGTGGAACGTCATGTCGAAGAACTTCCACGAGTACGAGTGAGAGCAGTAACCTTTGCATATCGGACATATCGTCAGATTAGCCGTGTGACTCGCTAGGGAAGAATTGACCTACCTGCAAACCCGCTCGTGTCTGCCTCTGCACATCCGGGCTGATTGTCACCACCATTCACGTACACATTGATATCGCCCGTTTGATGGCTCGAGTCTCCCAAGGTCCCTCGGTTCGTGTTGTAAATGTCCACGAAAGCCGCATCCCCAGAATGAAGGCGCTTGTTGACATCTATCTGAAGGTTGAAAAATGGCCCGGCTGGGTCGAGGCCGGAAATTCGGGATAACAAGGCCCCATAACGGTCCCGGTAAAAGGTTCCACAAGCACCAGCTGCGTTCAGGAAGGGAACTCATCATGTACTTATCTACCTATGTATATATATGATTAGTATGAAAGAGCCGCTGTATTTCTTACCAATATGAGCACCGAGGCTGTGCCCAATGATGTTGATCTGACTTGGCAGGATGTTTTTCGTCGTGACGATAAAGTTGATAACGTCCGCTATCCGGGAACCCACGGGACCCACGTTAGCAAGAACTTTCGAATATGCAGCCCCCGTTTCGATCAGATTTGCGAAAGTGTTTCCATTTCCGGAGAGTCGTCCCCAATCGACGACAATGATGTTTTGAGGGGTCGACAACTTTGAGAGGACGGCTGGACAAAAATAGGTTGCTTTATTTTGTACTCTTACAAATAATGGAGTGCTCACAATTTTTTGTAAGTTGTGACATTGGACTCTCAGCGTTGGACAAGAATCCATCGATGCAAAGAGTGACTCCGACCCCAGATTTGATGGCGTCCAGAGATTGAACGTTGTCCAAAATGACCTCTTTCCTATCCGTGCTTGATCTATTCAAGAAGAAAGATGTTGTTGCAGGGGTCATAGTGAAGTCGCGTCATAGAGAATGAGTGACGACGGGACTTACGGATACACATAGAACTTGACATCGTTGACATCCGAGGAAATCCCTGCGTTGAGGATCCCTGCGCTGGAGATGGCCCCCACGCAAAGGGACAAGACGAGAAGAAATAGTTTTGACGACATGATGAGGAACAACTTGCTGTTGTGGAAAACTACGCCTCACCTGCGTGACTGGACACTGTACTTCGGGTCAACCAGGCTTAAATACTTGCTCCGTTAGTCTTGCATGCAAGTCAGATAACAGAGCAAGCAAGCGGTGATGGCGCAAATGGTGGCGATTAATGGGGATTAATTCTTTGATGATCTCGCCTATTCAAACTGTTGGATAACTGGGATCGAATTCCAGCCAAGAGTTAAATAAAATAGCGTCATTGCACTTCTCCTCTTATCTCCAAACAATAGTGTAACCACCGCATCGCAAATTTAGTGCATCCACCAATCCACACCTTCGGCTTCGTACATTTTTTGCACTATCATGATTTTGTGTTGTGTTTGTTTGCTGCGGTCAATGTTAAGGTCTAGAGTTTGATCCTGAGGTCCAAGTTCGGGGATTTGTAAATTATGTGTTTTGCTGGGGTAATAAAAGTTAGTCCATATTTTCCATTATCCGCACAGGCTTTTGGCTGATAATCGGACGTCTTGAGTGATTTACAACCAATGCATCATCTCCTACATCGTCGTCAGTTATTATGTATTTCATCACTTCATATTACATACGTGTGAATAACTAATGTATTGTAGTTTTTGCAGTTTAGTTGTCTATTTCAGTGTAACCGTATGTACTAAATATGTCTGTTTTTGGGGTTTATTATCTATGAGAATTTTGAGCCAACTGCATAACATCATGGTTGCAAAATAAATAGTTACATAACAAAATTTGATTATATCAGAACTATTTTGAATTATTAAACGCACCATCTTTGTGCTTTTAAAAGTTGCATTTTATTGATAACCATATTTACAACCCTATTTATACTTTATGTATGCTCAATATATTTGTCTCACGAGTTAATTGTCGTCGTCTGCGTATTAGTGCTAAATGATGGGCCAATTTTAAATTGAGTGAAAAAGTTGGGCTACTTGCACTGCCATAAAAATAGTGCACTCTACATCTTCTTTCTCCGATGGATGATGCATTTAGTGGATCCAATATTGCACTTGACACTCGTTGTAAATGTCTCATTTTAAAATTTATTACGTCCACTGCGACTCCTCTCCAAATATGCATCAAGAGGATTCAAATCATGATCATTTCATTGAGGTTGAGTGGAAGGGCGGATGAGCACTTTTCGTACGATGTGAATAATAATGAGCAGCATGAACTTGATACAACTGACATTCATTAAGGTCAATTAAGATAATGTGATCTCATCTTTGTCTCTACGAACGAATCTTCTTCCACGAGCACATATTTACTCGGTTGGCTTGTTGTTTTAGTTTAGTTAGTTTTGGTCCAATTTGATCTTCAAATAGTCATCGTACTTACGACTCTAGTTATTTTAGTCCCACACAACAGGGCGTTCAAAACACGTCCTACTCATGCACATAACATTTATTATGCGATATTATTTCCTTTAAATACTGTGTGGACACAGGAACTGTTTGCATCCGCGACGTGACGCCTACTTGTGAACGGCACCTACTTGTTGTTTATGCGTACGTACGTACATACTTATTTACACGATGGGGCCAAACTGGAGTCAAGTACTTACGAGATGAATGAAAAACGGTTAAATTGAATGGAATAATGGGTTGAATTCCGAACGCAGGGTTGTTGGAGGAGAGGATGACGTTTAAATTAAGCAGGATTAATTGAGAGGCCGAATTCTGCTCCCTCCTCCTCCGAGAGAGACGCGTCCGTCCGTCGCTATCCACAACTCGTACTTCCCATCCTGAGACAAAGCTTGTGACTAAGCATCATTGAATAATTCCTATTTTATGCGTCCACCCACTCGTCCTCTGACTCCATATTTCTCCTTTTGTGGACAATTTCCTCTCATAATTACTCTGTAGTTTTGTGGACCTCAGCAGGTGTGAGTGAAAGTCGGTATGAGGCAACCTTTGGTCACCGTGTTGTTCGCAGTGGTGGCAGCTTTCACTTGGACGGGATTCCAATTCAGGTGAAGAACAGCTAGAGTACAAATCTAATTACTTAAATTAGTTGTAGTCTAAGAGGTGGGTTTAAATTGTTGGCGTAATTTAATTGTAGTGAAGCAGCCTTCATAAATTTAAAGGTTTATGAAAACGAGTGGCTAAGAAAAGTACTGACGGAACCGTTGAATAATGTTCACGTGCGACCCACCGTTATGAATACTTCAGGTAAACAAGGTCATCAGGCGTGATCTGGTTGGGGGCTACTGTTTCTCTGATTCCTTTGTTATTCGTAGAACCAATTGAGATCAGCGTTTCTCTCGTTGTCCGAAATTTCGAGGTGATTAATGCCAAGGAGCAGGTGAGTATGTTGATTAACTAATAAATAATTAATCTGTAAATACTAATTAGTCATGCCTTATTCTAAATGTAGGAGTACACCGTTCAAATTACGCTGCGTCAGGAATGGGAGGATGATCGCTTGGCCTATGCAAAGTTCAATCCTGTTCAACTCCGTGAGTTATTTCGTACACAACGAGATTTGTAACTTAAATTCCTCGAGTTATAAAAAATTTTGATCAAGGTCAAATAAAATACTTGACACTTGTGGAACCCGACAAGATTTGGACACCTGATACATTTTTCAAAAATGAGAAACGCAGCTCGATCCATAATATTATGAAGCCTAATAATTTTGCGAGGATATTTTCCAATGGGACCGTTCGACTGGAGACCAGGTCAGTTGTGAACCTAATTGTGGATCATCATTAATTGCAAATCTTTTAAATGTTTAAACTGACAGAATTTCTCTAACTCTCGCGTGTCCAATGAATTTGAGATACTTCCCTTTCGAGCATACCACTTGCAACATGCAGATCGCCAGTTGTAAGTGCTCCATCCATCCCAAAAGCAATGGTTTTTATGCAGAACTTTATCCTCCTCTTTCTGGCGATGAACAGATGGATTTGCTCGCGACGACCTGATCTACAAGTGGAGGCCACAACCACCCCCAATCACGATCCGCTCGGGGGCGGCCTACCCTCAGGAATTTGTCTTTGATTCCATCACCTCCAACTATTGCGACGCTCAATCGGGCAACGGTACATACACCACAATAACATCTTCATTTCACCGCTTTCTTATGAGCAATTAATTACTTTGGTAATACTTCAGGCGGCGTGTTTAGCTGTCTCCTGGCAGAGTTCCACTTCCGCCGGAACCATTTCTACTACCTCAAGCAGAACTTCATCCCACTGACCAACCTCGTGATTGTGTCCTGGTTCTCATTCCTCCTCGACTACCGACGCACCCTGCTCCTTCGCGCCCTCCTCTGCATGCTCACCTACTCCACGGCCTTCTCCCTCTTGGGTAACGTGGCCAAGGACCTCCCTCGAACAAGGACCACGGCCCTCGACTGGTGGAACGGGATCAGTCTCACCTTCATCTTCGCGGCCTTAGTGGAACTCGTCTTTGTCCACTACGTCACGACGGTGTCAGGGTCATCCGGAAATGGTGGCGACGATTCGATCGGTTCGGTAAAGAGTTCCAAGCGAAACAGTGCCTTCGATTCCACGGTGGAGATGGAGATGATTGCGAGAGGTAAACTTGGCGAGGGGGGCAGCAGTGGGATGTCCACGTCGGTGAACATTGAGCCAGAAAACGTGGAGGTGGCTGCAGGAGAGAGGAAGAAATCCGTCGAAATTCAAACGACCACTCATTGGACGAGCAAAGTCAATCCGGACAAAATCGAGAGGTGGATTAAAGTCCTCTATCCCGCAGTCTTCGCCGGCTTCAACCTCATCTTTTGGCTGGTCTGCTCAAATTCGGGGGGTCATTAATTAAGCAAATCACATTTTTTATCACGACAAGAATTATTTTCTTGGCAAGGTTTTTTTTTACATTATTTGGCGTGGACAAAGTATTAAGCAGTACGAGTTAGTAGATAATTAAGTTGTGCATGTTTATAGATACATGAAAGCTTTCATTTTGTTTGGCTGCACTTTCTGTCTCATCTCGATTTTATCTTGTTGGCCAATTCCAATTTTTTGGTCTTTTCAGAGATGAAAGTTATTGTTGGTGGTAAAAGATAATGGTATATCAGTCATTAAATTATGCTTCACATTATTATCTATTTATCTTTTGTACAAGTCCTTACTTAGCTAATCTTAATATGTATCTGATCTATTATGGATTGAAGTACGAGTAAAAGTTGTGCAGAATCTGTGTGCCTAAAAATCTGGATGGGAGAGGCTAGCAAAAATTGAGCAATAACGCGTTAAAAATCTCTCAATGACAAGGTGAAAATTACTTAATTGTTGTCATTTATTTAGCACTATTTTATCTCTCGTTCGTCGTTTTAAGTGTGAGTCTGAGTGCACCCAATTAGAACGATGCGAGTCCTTGTTGTTGGCACTTTCAAATCTGCTTATTAGTGGTTGGTTAGTTGGGTGGTGACATTGATAACAGTAATTAAACTATGGTTAGTTAGGAGACGACGTAATTTTTGTTATGTTCTTTTGTGTCTTATTATGTGTGTGTTTGGCTTAAATTAAATTGCTTTGACCTGCTGCACAGTCAGTGGACAGTCGTAGTCTCAGTTTGTTCTTGTCATTAAATTGCATTTCATTTCTGTGGTATTTTCTTTTTGAGTCCGTCATGAACTGCGAACCATATCTGCCGTGAATTAAATATTTTGTTATGCGACAAGTTATCACACATTCAAGAAACAATGGAGGAAAGATATGACGACTACTTCCGCTTTCATGTTTTGAGATTGGACTCACCTGGCAGCCGCTGGGTCCACGTGACACCAAGACAGGTAATGAGATAGACATAGGTAGATGGACAAAATGGACTGGTGGACAGGTTGACGACATGGCAAATAATAATTCCCCCTCCCCATAAAAAAATATACGTTTTTTCAAACTCTCGCACCCATACCGGAGAACAAAACGTACGCACGAGCATATTTTTACGTCTGTATATTTATGACCTCAAGGTCTCTCTTCTCCTCATTTTGTGTGAGGTTTAGGAAAAACAATAACTTGTCCTGTTCAAGCTCAATCATCAGAGGCGTATTTTATTCGCTAATCCTCAAGATTGCTCTCCTGATGGCATTGTTGATGGTAAACGTAATGAAGGCAATAACATGCGATAGTACCGACACGCTTGACTGCGTTCTCATTATTTAGAAGATGGTGACAATGAATGAATGATATTGTTATTTACGGCACAGGGCATAAGCACATTTTTTGTGTGTGGTTTGTATAAAAATAGTTTATATCCAGAAGAATCTCACACTGCCTCCAAAATCTCAGCCTTACTTTACCGTACAGTTAGTCAGCTTGGCCTGATTCTTTGTGCTGCTGCTGGCTGACCAAAAAGTTGGCAGTATGCACCGGATTAAAAATGCATCACAATGAACAAAGTACCTTTTTTAAGGTGACAAAGGAAGGAAGGAAGCGAGTCTAGCCAATTCTTGAACATTTCCACCATAATTTGGTTTCCACCATAATTTATTCAATTGACAAGTTTGCATACGTCCCCCTGCTTCTGTGATGTCATGGGCGACGCGGTGTCAGAAATCGTAACACGCAACGACGCCAGAAGAGTTGCAACAAACGACAACACTCTCACTTCTTCAAGTTGGAAAAATGACACAATTTTAATTTTGTGCATTCATGAGACAAATTCTGTGTGTACAAAAATGGTGAGTCAGTTGGTTCAACTCATCATCATGCAGTCAGTCAGTGTTTATTTATGCAGCATGGTTGCAATAACACTTTGTTGTTTTTATTATGGAAATGAAAAAGGACGGATGTGTAGATTGGACGGGATTGTGAATGGTGGTGGTGGTGGAATAACATAATAATTAGCAATTTGCAAGAGACTCACATGCAGTGGCTGAGTAGTACGGAACCATTATTATTTGAGGTCGTATTGTCAAAATTAAATAGCAATTTACTTGATGGGCGTGTGTATGCGCTGTCACCGAGTGGTATTCATTCCCCATTTTTTTAAGAACCAAAAAATTCTAGAGAGAATAAACTGAAGAAAGAGAAACTGCTTGGCCATAATTATTCATATTTTCATAAGGATTTTTTAGATCAAATCCCAATTGTTCGCACTTTGGGACGACACCACCAAGTTGCAAATATTTACAAGAATGGCAATAAAAATCGCATCAATAACTATACAGACTGATCAGTAGTCAGTCAATTCTTAAAATAACCGCAAAGGCCACCAATGTGTGTCAGAAAATAAGTTAATGAATCCGTTATTGTCAAATGCATTGAGATTTAATTGAATTGTTAATGTGAACGACATTGGTTTGTGTGCTGCAGTTTATCCACGACGATTTCTGCCACTTTCCTCTCATTCTGTCACATTTTGTTATCATTTCCTCCTTTTTTGTTGTTACACTCTAACACGTACGTAGAGTTTGCTGAAGAAATGGACTAAAGGGATGTATATACAACATACAACATATGTACATGTGAATAATTAATTAAAACTAGTCCGTAAGTAAAGCAGAATGTATACTCAAACAATGTTTTATTTCTTTCGTATCTTTGTAATTTGCCGTAACTGTAATGCTACATATAATTAACGACATTATGAAATTCATCAATTCCTAATTATTTTATGGTACACAAAATTGAAATAATACGAGTTATGATTTGTGGTCACACTCCCACTTCCCGAAATGAAATGAATATACGCATACAAGTATTAAATAATTGATTCCATTCAGCAAATCAAATGGTCGTGCAGGGCGAAAAAATCGCGTTTACTTAAAATTCGATGCATAAATAAGTTGTCTATGTTCCGTGAGTCACAGGCTGTGACTCCATTCCCATATTTCGCCCAAGAAAAACAAAAGTACGTGAAATAAAATAATTTAACTCGAAAAAAATCTGATGAGATTCTCATGCTCGGAGTGAGTAGAAACAATAAAATAAGGCAACTTCCCCTAGGATATTACGCAAGAAATGAGCAGAGTTGGTTGACTAAAATTATAAAAAAACTGTAGATGACTTTAAACAATGGAACGATGGTACGAACGACGTACGTAACGTACGTACGTATGGCTGATCTTGCTGATCTTGCCACGGAGGGAGAATTCCATCATGATTAAGTCAAAATGCCAATTAATGTTGTTTGTGGGGTTGTTCCTCATCAGCATCGCGTCGTAGAATGTGTGTGTATGTACATTCGTGTCTTGAGATGAGATTGTCGAGTAAATTAAGCCATGCAGAGCTATTTAGCTGATTCGTTTGCTGACAAAAGTTTTAGAGGGCTGCAACAAGTATTTACTATTGTGTGCCTGCACATGAATACGTAATAATGATAAGTTTGCATTCAAATTTTGAGAGGAGGAGGTATGGATTTATGTACAGGTCTCTCTCTCCGTCAGCCACTCACTACTACGGCACGGATGGATGGATGACATTTCGTTTTCATTTCCATATCTTTCCGTGGCTTCAAGTTGAAGTCAAAAAAGTTATTTAAGCTCGTGGCGTTCGCAAAGGTCTCACATAATTCATTTCTGGCCAGAAGGAGAGCATAGCCCGCAGTGAAAATAAGTAAATAATAATGAGAGCTACGTGTCAGTCAGTGTGAGCTATTGCAATACAACAGAGCAATAAGTGTGACGAGGACAGGTCAGAGGATTACGACGCCACCAGTACAACTACCAATCACATACTACATACCTGCAGAAAAGAGGAGAAGGAGAGTGATTCATCCCACTTTTAGTTTATAGGATTTATATTCACGGGATTTTCCAAAATGGTAAGATCTCTTATTTATTTAAAGGTTGAAAACTGAGTACAATTTTAGAACTTTGTAATTTTCAGAGGGTGAGACAGGTGGTCTTGGTGGGAGTGTTGCTGGTGGGAGTAGCACTAGGTGCAGAAGTATCGAGCAAAAATGTGGCAACAAATAAGCCAGTTGTAGTGAAAATCACTGCGGGTGACAAGAGTCATGGGAGCGATGAAAAGTTGGACACCGCGTCGCAATCTCTCTTTGGCTATAACAGTGCGAGCGGAAACGTTGGTGGGTTAAATGGTGGGGCAGGATTTGGGGGGTTCTCCGGACAAGGACAAGGATTTCCGGGAGGATTTTCAAGCTCAGGTGGCGGAGGATTTCCGGGGGGCCTGGGAGGCGGATTTTCAGGAAGTAGCGCAAGTAGTGGCGCAGGAGCAGGATACTTAGGCGGAGGAGGAGGCGGGTTTGGTGGGTTATCTTCATCTGGATTGGGGGGACTTGGTGGGGGTGGGGGTGGTCTCTACTCTAACCAGTTGGGGTCAGGTGGAGGTATTGGTGGACCTTCTACTTTCTCCTCAGGTGGTGCTGGTGGATATTACGCTCCTCAAGGACTTGGAGGATTCGGAGGTGGTGGGAGTGGATTCGATGGTTTCGGGTTCAATCCCAGCAGCGGTGGTTTTGGTGGTGGTCGCAGCCCATACAACTTGTATTCTGGGGGACCGTTGGGAGTAAATGGGGGAGGATTCTCTGGGAACAGTCTTTACGCAGGAAGCAATGGTGGGGGCGGACTTTTTGGCAGCGGTGGGGGTTCGGCAGCATCTGCTGGTGGATTTGGGGGTGGAAATTTCGGATCAAGCCCATACTTTGGGAGTGGATTGGGGGGTGGAGGGGGATTTGGTGGCTACCCTCAGTTTGGCGGGTTTGGGGGAGGATCGTCACAAGGAAGCAACTTCCTTGGAGGCGCTGGTGGACAAACTGATCGAAATCTAGGCTTTGTGAATCAAGCATTTGGAAATCCACTGTACAATCGAAGCCCACCAGTTTCCAATATTGCACCCGGTCTCGGATCCATCCAGGTAGGGAACAGACTCGACGTGAACAATGGGAATCGGGGTGGATTAAGCTCGGGTGGCTACATCCCCAGCGGGGGTCCTGGTGGATTCTCAACCACGTCGGGTGGGTCCTCATCATCCGGTCTTCCGTCATCATCCCCACAACAGTTTGGCAGTGGTGGAGGTGGATTTGGTGGTTTTGGGGGAGCACCACAATTCAGCCCAGCAGCATCTTACAACTTTGGAGGATTTGGAGGTAGTGCTTCACCTTTCGGAGCTTATCCAGGAGGAGGACAACGCTTCGGACCACCACAATTTGATTACTTGAACCGAGGAGTGCTTGGTGGGGGAGGGAGTTTGAGCAGAAGACCTGGCACAATCCCATCCTCCAGCCCTATCGGAGGACCCCTCAGGGACGGAAGTGGAAGATCTCTCTCAAGCCCATCGTCAGGACCCAATCGTTACTACAATCAAGGGGCAAACCCAAATTCCGGTGCGTTTGGTCGAGGTAGTGGTCCAACCCTCCATCGATTCACAGCTCCATCGTCGGAGGATGATACGGACAATTAAGAATTATTAGAATAATGTTACGCTTATTAATAATTATAAAATAGGAGAAAAAGTGGTCGATTGTCGTACGGTTTCATCTCACAAAAAATATGGCGTGCTACGGACTTTGCATACTTTTATACCAGCAGAACATGTAACGAAAGATTGATATATATGAATAAAATACTGTTTTTTGTCAAGTCCGTGATTGATCCACTTTTCTTTTTTTCATCATTCATCCACCTCGTCGAAACTGCGACGCCTTTGACGATTATACATGAATGATGAGTCATCATTGATGACTGAGAAATTGATGAGGAAAGCATGCAAAAAACATCTCACTTTCTCCATTGCACCCGGCGAGCAGAGCCGCGAACACAGCACAAACACCAACTTCACATTTCATAAAGTTACGATTTAATTATTATTGACTGTCGCCGTTAATTTCAAGTTTGACAACTGACGATATCCTAAAAACTAGCAGGATGAAGATTACAGCGAGTCCCGCAGTAACAAATTTTTACACGGATATCCTTGCTCACTCTTTTGAGCCTGGGGGTCAACGAGTCGCCGCCGCGACGACCATGGGAAAGTTCATAGTGTTCGAGTACGAATTTACAAGTATTTACATGGTCAATTCAATCAATCCTAATTAATTTACAATCTCATAGACGCGACTGGGACAATAATGAAGCATTCACAAAAATGGAAATGATGCTTCCCAACAACGCCCCCGCCCTGTGTCTCGACTGGAAAAATGGCAATGTCGGAATCCTTCTTGGGGCTAAATCCCTCCTCTACCTCTTTCGTCAAGACAGGAATGGCGACTTTGACGATGATGCTGCAAGATTGACAAAATTCGACGTGAAGTATGACGTTCATGATGTGGCATCCAGAGGGTCTGGTTCTCCCGTTATTTTTGGAGCGTGTGATGACTGCAAGGTTCGAGTTTGGGATGTCGAAACACAAAAACTAGTGGGGGAGATGACGGACCATAAAATGCCATTGGAAGTTTGTAAAGCAAAGTAAGGCGGCTAATGAGTACATGTACTCACATGTATGTGAGTTTTAAAAAGTTGGAGATGGTTTTGATGAGATTCGTTTTTTTTGTAGTGATGAGTATGTTGTGACTGGCGGTCAGGATGGAAACGTGGTTGTTTATGATGCCTCATTAAGGTCACCGAAACCAATTGTTTCCTTTGATCAGGGGAAATCTACTGTGAGTTATGCTTTGGGTCCTTGCACTGATTATTTTATCAATCATTCACTAACTGCTTTACTGGATTATGTAGATTACTGCATTGGACATTAGTAGTGACTCTACATGGATCGCGGCCGGGTCAGCGGGAGCTCCTATCGTTTATAATTTAAAAAATTCCGCAATACTTCCACAAATTAGTCTAGAGAATCCAAACAGTAAGCTGATGTGACCTTTCTTTTTGTAAAATTTTCTGATTTCGCAATGAGCTAAGTTTTTAAACAATTTTCTATTAGAAATCCACACGGTTCACTTTGATCAAATGAATACGCTTTGGTGGGGTGGTGGTTCAGGACGAATCTTCAAGTCACTAAATTTGACTGAAATATCAACCGAGATAAAAGCAACGTATGGGGCAGCTACAATATTTCATGTTTATTCCATCACCTCAACGTCACCAAACCGTCTCAGCGCGGCTGGATCATCGACTGGGATTCTATTTTCGGAAAATGGGGACTTTTTTGAGGGCATGGTCCACATTTGAAACTTATTTTAACATGTGCCGATTTAATTTTTTTTTATACTTTTGCATAATCCATGCTACCAAAATGATAATATTTGCTGCAAATAAATAATTAGGCAGAATAAACTGAGATTGAAAAACTGATCTCAGCATGGTTATTTATTGCATGTTGAGTATGAGCGAGCCTCCTCACTTCATCAGTCTCATTTTCCCATCTGGACTGAGGAGATGTGTAGCTCGTCCGCTCGTCTGCTGAGGAAAGGCAGCCTGGGTTTTCATCCGCGTCCAGTTTTCCATCTGACCTGGTCTGACCTCTCATCCGTCGCATTTTTGGTCTGCCCGAGGAGAGGCCACAGTTTCTATGCCCTCCTCATCTCCTGCTGACTGACCTCACATTACTCATTGTCCGGCTTGGTTCACAAGAATAATCAACCTCGCCAGATTCTCTGTTTTTAAGGCTTCTCCAACTTTTTAGCCATAATTTACGACAATACGACCTCGCCATTTTTATTTACGGCCTCGCCATTTATTAGTTTCGACCTCAACAATCGTGGAATCCTCACTACTTCATCCCACTATTTCTCGCCGTTTTGAAGTGCTCTAAAGTAAGCATACATTTTATCTTTTACAAACAACACTACTCTCCGTATTTCTTCAATAAAACAACAAATTAATAAAAAGTAGACTTTTAGTTGTAAGTATTATAATTATTCCCTGATGGAATAAATATAAATGCAATAAATATTGATGTCCATAAACATTCAAAAATTTCATAATCAAATTCATTGTTTTAACCAGAATGTAAACAAACGTTTCAAAAATTACAGGTAAAGTCGATAGGACTTTTTAGTCGCGATAATAATTTATTTATTAATCATTTCTTCATGGATTCGCCACTCACAATTTCGAGTATTGTGGAGGACGTATCAGCAGATCGCATGATGAAGAAGGAAGAAGACACCACCACAACCACAACGATGTCAATCTGCCTTGAAGGGAACAGTCCTAATAATAGTAATCATAACGCAGTCACAAAGAGTTTAGATGTTGGTGGCGAGACGACTCCTTGCGTCGACATGAACACGAATAATATCGGGATTTATGATGAAATGTTGCAGAATGATGATGTAATTAATTTTATTTTCTCATTACAAATTTGGTTTAGTCTTGATGGTTAATTTCAAAGGTCAATTTTTCACAGGACGATATCATCACGGGATTAAGTTTCGTGTCAGCAGGTGATCTATACGACGACGCCGTGATGGGCTTGTTGGATGATGATTTCAGCCAAAAAACGAAGGGCTCAGACGACGATGTTTTTGAACGCGAAGATGATACGACTAGACGTGGAGCTCCTATTCAATCGTCTATTCGGGGGAGAGGAGCGCAATCATCGTCACAGGAGAATAATAATGATAATACTGTAAAAAATGACAGTCATGAGCATGACTTGTCCCCTCAAAACAAGGATGTTGTGGGTTGTATTGGGAGCAGAAAGCATAATAGTATCGCTGGGAGGTTTGCTTTTTACATTGGAAATTTGACTTGGGTAAGAAAGGAACTACGGGAAATATGTATACGAGTTGAGTTTGGTTTGTGATTATACATATGTGGTAATTTTAATTAATAGTGGACTAGTATTGAGGATATAAAAACATGTCTAAAACTGGTTGGAGTCATGGATGTCTTAGAAATCAAGATCTTTGAGTGTCGAGCCAATGGACAGTCGAAGGGATACGCTCTGGTCACATTTGGGTCGGAAGGTTCCATGAAACTGGCAGGAGAGCAGTTGGACAAGACTAAAATTCATAACAGGATCCCTACGGTGAAGCCGGACTGTAAAGCGTCTTCACTTTATGTAATCAGTCCATCAAAAATTCAAGCTCTTTGGTTCATCATTAACTTGACTCTTAGTTTATCCATCAATACCTGTTTCCACAGTTTGAATCTTTGACTAAAACTCGACCCCCACCAACATTGTCCACGTCATCATCGAATGGGGAGCAGACAGAAGGAGGATCACTTGCCCATCGGGGCAGTAAGGCAGATGCAGGACTTGGAACTAGTGGCACATCAATTCAGTTAAATGGAGGAATGCGATATGGAGGAGGGACGCGTTCTCAGCTATCACAGCAGCAGTTTCATCCCAGAAATTTTGGACCAAGACTCCCACCACCACCACCCACGACCTGGAGTCATTTAGGCAACCCCGGTGGGAATCGATATCCTCCTCCTCTTCCCAGAGTAACAATTAACGCATTATTAATAACTCGACTCTATTCGGAGTAACCTAATTCGGTTTTCCGGGTCATAGGGTGTGAATTCCATGTACTACGGGCCACCACGGGGTCCACCACCCCCAATGCTCATGCCAGGTTACGGACCACCACCACCGCCACCTCACCAACATACGAATTATGTGGACGAGTGGAGGGGGTCACCATCGGGCTGTAAGCCATATGGGAAACATAAGACTGGCAAATTATGTAATTTAATGTTGAGAATAATTTCAATAATTCTTGCAGATAATACTTCTCGCCACCCTCGCGTTCATGTGAATCCAGCTTTTTTGAACCGTCTTCCACTAGAAAACTACACAATGACTGACGAGGGAGTGATCTTTCATCCCTTACCACCTGAGCAAAGCGGATTGACTTCGTATAACATGAATGTAATAAGTCTTTGGATTATTGATTATTTATTACCAGCTTCGCTTTAGTTTACTAGTCAATCATTTGCTTATTTTTTCCTGTAGTCTGAATATGAAGTAATAGATTCTCCAGAGCGACTGATAATGAGTTCTCGACCGGGAGCACTGACAAATTCTCCTCATCTTGAACCCAGCCAAGCAACAGAAGCTATTTCATGTCGAGGTTCATACATAATTTCATCTACGCCAATAGAAGAGAAGCATAGCAATTGTGACGGGCTTTCTGATATTGAACTGGATGTCATCTTGGATGGAAATGACAAGATTTCTAGCATGGCCATACAGCGAGCAGTTGAAGATGCTTCGAATGGTAAGGGAATAATGAGGACGAGTCAGGTTGTGAGGAGGGTCTCAATTACCCAACTACATAATAAATTGAGAATCACTCATTGATAATAATTTGTAGGTGAATATGCTAGTGCGATCGAAACATTGGTCACAGCCATTTCAATAATCAGAGGATCCAAAGTGAGTAAAGAGAAGAGAACGGAAGTATTGGTTTCATCTTTGCAAGAGTCTCTTGAAGGAATTGAACATCAAAGTTATGGACGACAAAGTAATATAATTTACATATATGTACTTAATTATTGAATTGTAGTCATGAATCATGACTACAATTCAATCATGACTCATGATGCATCCATGTTGTTCCAGACGGCGATCGTCCATCGCACCGGGATAAGAAATCCGATTTAGCAAGGCAATCGCCACCATTAGGTCATTTCCGCAGCAGCAGACCTCGGGATTATTACTCTTCTAGTCGGAGGGATTACCATCATAATTATCACGATGGACGTGGAAACAACAGTTCGTACGTTGTTATTTTTTCATGTGGTTTTCATTAGTTGAATCCAATTGTTGTATTACTTGTGTATATAAACTCTAGGAATTATTATACGGAACGGCCAAGTCGACGACGCTCTTGGGATGGTCGTGACCGCGACTTTGATTTCATCCCACGATCAAATAAAGTTGCTCGAGTGGATGATGGGAGAGAGCAGCCGTGGTGTCGTCGTTAAATATAGTTGTCGAGAACATCAGTCAATCAATTAAGTCCAAACAACCTGCAGTATTAGTTTAGTATTTAAGAATGTATCACGTGTGCGTGTCAATGTGTTTTGTTACTTTTATATACTTACCGTATGTATGTTCCTAAGATTTAATGCATTTGCTATTTAAATTTTACACTTCATTAATAAACTGTGTTTTATAATGTCCTTGTTCAGATCAACTTGTTTATTGTACAACATGGGTTCATTTTTATTGCCAAAAGTGGGAGGATAATTAATCCAGTAATATTTGTGAGACGATGAGTGCATGATAAGATTAAAATAAATTAACTAATTTGAAGTATTATGCAATTAGACGATGGTTTTGTTATTCGATGTATTGAGAGTCCTATTCCTGTACATTCCCGTCACAGCCAGAACCTCAGTGAAGGCACCGGAACGTGGAAAATACATTTGCGTCATCGTATGCGGATTTGGCGAGAAGCGTCCATAGTCACTCGTGGTGGTGACGTAAAAGGGGTGGGCAGGTTTTTCACAACCATATCCCTGAAAAAATTATATTTTAATTGAATTCACTGCTGAATACATTTTGGGCGTTAATTTTCGTTATTTAAATACCTTGAACCATGCCGGATGATTGAACCGACTTGCCAAACCTTGTTGGATGGGGTAGTAGTCACAAGTGCGGCATTTGTCGATGAATTCCCAACTCCCAACTGAGAGGGGGGGTTGGTCCTGCCATTTTCCTGGATCCCCTTGACCATTCTGAAGACTCCTCGGTTTGCACATTGCCTCCAACTCGGTGGGTTTGGTCCACCCCGTCTCGTCTGGCAGGTCGTCGATGACGCCACGGCAGGGGTACTTTGGGAGCAGGGGTTGACATGGGCTCATGCACTTTGTGAATTGACGGGAATGACCAGACTCCCGTTCTTCCAAAGGACCCACCACGTCCTCATATTTCGAACGAACCACATCCAAACTCCGACTCGACTCGCAACACTCGTCAATTGTTGGGGGCTCCACTTCTCTGAATTCGAGGAAAAGCAATTTTTTTTACGAAATATCAATCAAAGAACAATGAGTTAATATTTGTTTCACTATTGACGGTATATCGGAATTTTATTTCAAGCTTTCGTTAACAAAACAGTATAACTTCTTGAGCGAAAACTCCTATGAATTAACACGAACCCGGAAGTGTTGCTCAACACGGCGGCTGGAAGAGTAACATGAATGGATTGAGACGTCCCTTTCCCCACATCGATCACTGCCATGGCGTCAGGAAACTCATCAGAAGAGCTTCCTCTGTCGCCCGAGTAGTCATCTAGGTTGCACATGTCGTTGGGATAACCCTCTCGTGGCGGCTTGAATGCTGGTTTCGGTCTATTCGGGACAACATTAGGACAATATTCATCATCTTGGATTTGAATATTACAGAGTTTTTGCATGTGCAAGCTCACTCCCAGGTCGGCGGTTCGTGCTTTGGGCGGTCGCAAGGGTCGTCGGTTTTCCCTACGGTGTCGAGGAGGGCATGTCGCCGAGAAATTTTTGGGGGATATGGGACCCACCCAGCCTGTGGGACGCAGCCCCAGGCCATCTCACTCGGACGGGCGGTGAACCCTTCCGGATTCATGCGCGTGGGGCGACTCATGTTGAAGAATGAGGTCAGAGTTGGAGGAAAGCTTTTGATTTAGCAAATTCGGTCCATGAATGCAAATATTTGGAAGCAAGGAAATGAAGTCATGGAAAAATCGCAATGACAGAGATAGTCTCAAGAAATCTCAAATCGAGGCAAATCGAGACTGCCCAGATGTTGGGGCAACGGACGACCACCGCCAACAACATTGCTCCAAGCGAAGACCGGAGAAAGCACGATTTTCCTCAATTAAATTATTTTAACTATTATAATCTATTTAATTATTTGACTAACTTATCATGGATGATGAGGCAGAAACGTACAAGTTGTGGCGAATCAGAAAAACCATCATGCAGGTAAGTACAATATAGCAGGAGCCGCCGATATTTATCATAATCTCGTACTCATGTTTTTAATAATAAGTTTTTTTAGCTATTCATTAATTTTAATTGTATTTATTAATAATATGTTAAATCTAGCTGTGTCACGATCGTGGATACCTCGTAACGCAGGACGAGTTGGATCAAACCCTCGACCAATTTAAAGAACAGTTTGGCGATAAGCCAAGTGAACGTCATCCAGGAAGAACTGATCTCATTGTGTTAGTTGCACACAACGATGACCCAACAGGTATAATGGCAACGATAAGTTACTATTCTACGATGAGTACTAATATCCAAGTATAATCTTGCTCTCACAGACCAGATGTTTGTTTTCTTTCCGGACGAGCCTAAAATTGGGATAAAGACTATTAAAACTTACTGCCAAAGGATGCAGGAAGAAAACATTCATCGAGCCATCATCGTTGTGCAACAGGGGATGACACCGAGTGCAAAACAGGTTGGATTGAATTTATAAAAGTACCCACACAGTTGTTAGACATTCAAAACAATATTTAATCTCTCTGTTCACAGTCGCTAGTGGACATGGCTCCAAAATATATTCTGGAACAATTTCTAGAATCCGAACTACTGATTAATATCACAGAACACGAACTTGTTCCAGAACATGTCGTAATGACGCCGGAAGAAAAACAGGAATTGCTTCAAAGATAGTAAGAATAATGAATTGAGTAGGGTTAAGTTGCAACCCCAGATTCTGTTTAATGAAAATAACTCGAATTAACGAATTAGTTATTAATATAATTTTAATTGGTTGAATCTTGAGTTGGGTGCACAGTGTAGTTGTGTTGTTGTAATTATTAACTATTTTAACAATCGTTTTTCTTTTTGTCGTTAATTTTTTAAATAGCAAACTGAAGGAGAATCAACTGATGCGGATCCAAGTGGGTGACCCCGTGGCTCGCTATTTTGGACTTAAGCGTGGCCAAGTAAGTAAGATTTAATAATCCGCTCACAGTAATAAGCTTTGCTAATAAATATTCTTCCTAAGCGCTTTTGCTAATTATTTTGCACTTTTCATTTTATTTTGTTTGTGGATGGAATTAATATTTGTTTTCCCATTCATAAGGTTTATGATGATTTTGTTCGCTGTACTATTTATAATAATTTGTGTATAGTAAATTGAAAGAAAATTTCCTCCCACGAATTCAACAACAAGACCCAGTGGCTAGATATTTCGGTCTTCAACGCGGTCAGGTCTCTATGAATTCTATTATTAAAACTTGTTCTTTTCGCTTTAGCTTGCTTAGACGGTCTAAGTTAGACCAATGCGACGAAGAAAACTGTGTAGCATAATCTTATATTCTTCATCTTTTTTATTTATCACAGGTCGTGAAGATTATTCGTCCTTCGGAAACTGCAGGAAGATACATTTCTTATCGTTTGGTGTGTTAAGAAATAGTTTAAATGCTTTTTATATTGAAAAAATGTGTCATTGGAGAGTGTAAAGAAGAATAAATAAATATTCTCATCAAGAATTGTTCTTGTTTCTCATTTTCATGTATTTTAAACAGCATGATTATCATCATTCGCATATAATTTGCATACAACTTTGATAATTCAACATGGATTCACATATGAATCTAGTCTTTCTTCATACAATTAATTTCGAGCTAAACGTTTTGAGCTCTAAATTCCTTTTCACGAGGGGCTCATTCATACGACTCATAGGCTTCACGTGAGAATAGGACCAAGTTGGAGGAAGGTGGTCGTCCTTTGTGGACGGTCCGACGCTAACTCAACCAATAATCTCATGCATATGAGTGAGTTTGCCTTTCAACGAGCCGACTGAAAACATTTCAGCTGGAATTGAAGAGTGAGACGAGAGACCGACACGGACCATATATGAGCGATCTTGTATGGATTACTATTATGAATGTTTTGGGTAATGGGCCCCCCTGGTTTTGCCGCTGTTTCATTTCGTCCGTAAGTTAACATGGTGGCGGGCGGATTTCAAATTCAAACAGGGGACCCATTGCCCAAAAAACGCATAATATTCCATGGACACGGACAGAGTGCAGAGAGAAAGCCTTCTTCTTTTCTACAGAGGGGCCTTTGTTTCACTAAAGCATGGAATTTGGTACAGGTCGAGACTTGGTTACCATTTGAGGGAGTAAGGCACCAGTTCTCAGTTTAGCTTGTGTGGTTAGTTCCATGCGGACACCGTCCAGTAAGTCACCTGTCCATCCTGAGACTTGAGACGAGTAATCCAAGGTATATTTATTACTTTTTTCTGTACTAGTCTACTACTAGTAGAACAAAATTTTATAAATAAATAAGGTTTGCTTGTTTTGTGTGTGAATATTATTTTGCGTTTAAACCTGACTATTCAACACTAATACTCGTTCGTTGTAATTTTCATTTCCCAGGCTGATCCTTTCAGGAAGTTAGAGAAGTCGGATACGATAGGACACGGCTTTAAGGCGTATTAAGGATCAAGGCCGGTGAGCTAATTCACTACGAATTACAAAATATTGGCAACATGTACTTTGTTTACGTGGTTAACGTTATGTTTTTTTACATGTACTTACGAGATAGATAATACTAAATATGGATAAGACCATTATTGACCTCATGGCTTTTGCATTGGGAGAATCTGATCTGGAACAAGATCTTCAAATGGATGTTGAAGATTCCAACTTTGAGGAAGGTGCAAGATTTGCCTTGAGCGATGAGAATCCAAACCTTGGACTGATGACATCCGAAATTGCCCACCCACCAATACCACCATCCCCTTCCTTCTCGTCCTCCTTGGGCGACTTTAGCTTTTTAGCTCTGGATTCAAGTATATTCAGCCTGGATTCAAAAGAGATTTCAAAATGTCTCAGCGCCACACCAACCGCGAATGGTACTGCATTAAATGAAACCACAACGCTGAATGTGTCGCAATTCGCACTTTCTGAAACAAATGTGTTTGTTGAGGAAGGATCATTACGGGCTAGCTTACCCTCCACTGCTATTCCACTCTCTGCTGACGACAGTTCAACAATAGGCCAACAAGATTTCTCTGCCCAGTCGACACCCCAGCTCCCACCCGCAAATAATCTGAAAAAGAGGGGAAGAAAGCCTAAACCCAAGGACGGAACAATTGGAAACAAGCCTCTAAAGACTCGGAAGAAGTACATGCTGCCCCCAACGGATCCCAATTATCACGCCAAGGATGTAAAAAATGCACGTCAGGCCAAGTTCAACCGGGATCAGAAGAAACAACTGTACGTGAATACTGCCAATGAAAATGCCAATCTGAAAGAGACCATTGCAGCAAAGGATGAACTTATAATCCAATTACAAGAACATCTCGTTCAGGAACGTGGACTTCGACGTGCAATGCAAGATAATCTTTCCACGATCAAGGCAGCTTTCGCTCAAAATTACGATCAACTGAAGAGCTTCAAAATATTGTTGGACAGCTCGAGCAATGGTGAGAATAAAAGTGACCAGAAGGATGTCGTTTCATAATCCATAGCACAACTCTAATGTTCTTATTCCATTTCTTATTTTATAAGTTAGGACATACTTTTTGATGATATATTAGTCGCATCACTTGTGCAATGTGTCTGCCTTTAACGACTTTGTAGTTACACTTTATTTTATTTTCTGAAATGTGAGGGTGTTATTGCAGTAATAATGATGATTAGAAACTGACTGCCATAAGTAAAGTACCTTAAATATTTAAGTATTGGATAAACGAGAGGAAGGAAAGTATGTGATGCTGATTGATGAAAATGACAATTTAAATGACAATAATAATGATACTATTTAAATGTGTATAGACAATTTATTTGGTTGATGAATAAAACAAAAAAAGTTGGAAACTTATTAAATTAATTATTTGTTTATTTGCAAACTTAACAATAGGACCATTTTGTTGTTTAATTATATCCTGCATAAAAATTACCCATTAACCTTGAAAATTCCATGTTATTTCAACTTGACCAACAACTATGTATATGCGGCGGATTTGTTATGTGGAAGTTGGTTTTAAACAATAGGCAGTTAAAAGCATGAGCAATACACATATTCCAATGATGGGGTCGATGGGAAAGTGGAGGATAAAAGGGATGCGGAATCATGGTCAGAAGTCATCTCACCGTCTTTCTCTGCTGGACGCTGACGGTCACCGTCCTCCAGCAGAAATCCACGTCTCATCCAATCAATTTGTCACCCAATCAGCTGCAAACTAATACTGGCGAGGAAGCGAGCCTAATTTCGTATTTTAGCTATCAGAACACCGTCCGAAGACGAAAGAAGCGGGCGAAGGGGTCGGGCGCTGGAGGTTTAAAATATTTTAATGAGTTTTTATAAATACAAGTATTTTCTTTGCAGATTATGATTAATTGCCAGAATAATTACTTGCAGACTTTATACCAAAGTCAGGCAAAGTAGGTCGTTTTCCTTCCTCTGCGATCTTCACCCGCCTCCTTCCCTTCAACGTCAACCCTTTCACCCTAGGACTCAAACCCCACAACAACGCGACTGCCATCGCAAATGCATCCACGATTTCTGGACGCAAAGCAGCAGCGACTGCGGTTAGTCGACGCGGTGGTCATGTCATCAGCACGGCTTCCGTCCTGAGGACGAATGGGAGTGCCTCAGCAAGAGCCGTGTCGACTGGGGGCGGTGATAAGCGTGGGGATAATCTTGCAGTGGCCTCTGCTCAAGGGAAACATGTTATCAGCAGTGCTAGCTCGGACGCTCTGACTGCGGCGGATGCAGACAATGACATGGAAGGTGTGTCAATATACATTGTATTCAACATGGACGTATTGCGTAATATTTTTTCATAAGTTTCTTAAATTTCCCATTTAAGTCATTGTCGACCCAAACCAACTAAAGAGCAGTGTGGACAAGGATTTTAGCATAGTTGATGAACAATTAAAAAGTCGAAAGAAAAGGGCAGGATGATTTTCAAGTAAATGTGTAGTATTATCATTATTCATTAGTATGCATACATAAATAATTTGCATAGTTTTGTAATTTTTGTTATTTAATCATTCTTAGACGATCCGATTAACAATATTTAGTTTGATTTTACCCATGTTTTTTCTTACCGTCTGATTGTATATGATTTTGATGCTTAGCATGTTGATCTTGTTTGGGCGCAATCATGATCATGTAGCTGATTAATCGTTGCAAGCTTTGATCAACCAAGCGATGTTCCCAACTGAATTGCATACATATGTAGATTATTATATAGGAAACTAATTGGACATGTATTAAAAATTGACGTGTACATTATTTATTCAACGTAAAAACTTACAAGAGTCCCTGATTAGCCAGAGCTGCGTTAATTTCGGGCGACAATAACTCTGTGGATGGCCAATCAAAATCCTCATCGAAAACGGGAACAATCCGCTTCTCTGAATCTACGGCTGCTTTGATTTCCTAGAATAAATAAATACGTCAGACTTGAATTGTGCATACTATTTTGCAGGGGTGGGCAAGATACTTTGGTCGTAAGATACAAGATACAAGATAAGATACTCTCTAAGACAAGATATAAGATACAAGATAAAAGATACATCTTGTTTAAGTACACAAGATACAAGATACTTTTCTAAAAATTGAGTAGTCAAGATACAAGATACAAGATATGTATCTTAAGATACTTTTATACTAGATAAGATACTTTCTTTTTTAGCTTGGTATTCATGCCAAATTAGTCATGTTTAATCATTTAACCGAAAAAATCTAGTGAGTACAAAATTTAAAATCATTCTAGAATCATTTTACAAATTTTGTTGCCAGTGCTTATACTTCGAAAAAGGTCTAAATTTCGAAAAACTAGAACTCTACCTAACATACGTATATTCTTAAGAAGCTGGTATTATTTTTACAATATTCCCTGCTTATTCAAACTAAACCCTATAAGATCTATACATTAGTTCAGCGTAGATGTAATGTGCAACGTATGTATCAGTATGTATGTACGAGTACACATGTACATATATATATATATATATGTGCATATATGTACAAGTTTGTTACGAATTGGCAAAACATAAACTAAAAATTCACCAAATTCTGGTTACGACAAATTCATGGTCAAATTGACTGACTTTAGTAAGAAATTGACGTAATTTGACGGAATTTTGAGAAAAAGTATCTTGTATCTTGTCAAAAGTATCTTAAGATACTTTTCTGCCAGGCATATCTAGATAAGATACTTACACAAGATACTTTCGACTTTCTAAAAGATAGAAGATACAAGATACAAGATACTTCTCTGATCAGGCGACGAAGATACAAGATAAAGATACTATCTTGTATCTTGTATCTTTTATCTTGTATCTTGACCAAGTATCTTGCCCACCCCTGCTATTTTGAAGTATTTTGTACACACCTTGTGGAGAAAGTCTGTGTAGTTGACGTCGCCAATACACCTGTCGAGGGTCCCATTGCTCAAAAGTAGAAGAAAATTGGGGGACAATTCAACGTTCTGCATAAGCTGCACGTCCCATGCTCCACCCTCCAAATCTTCCACGTCCAGAAAAGCGCTGACATTTTCTTGCTGCAACATCACTTTGATCAACATGGCCAAGTGCTTCGAGGGTGCGCGACGGTACGAGATGAAACCGTCAAAATGATCAACTATGTATTATTTTCACAACATTGCATAACTTTAGACAAAGGGACCGATGCGAAATATTTTAGCTAATTTTGCAAGTCATACCACTTTCAGTATCATTAACAATTCCGTTATTTGCTGCCAAATTGGTGGAGTCCAAGTCACCGGATAACTGACGCCAATAAGGGTTGAACCCTTGATGATTATCGTGAGGTGAAGCGTCAACGGCCACACAAAGACCAACGAAGAAGGGCAAGAGATGCAAAATAAGGATGAGTCGAAAAGAGGTCATTTTGTTTGAATTGAGTGAACTGCGCAAATGACAAAGTGCATAATCCAAGGTGTTTTATTTTATATTCCATAAAGACGATTATCATGAGCATGACATTTCACCAGATGAAACTCATTATCATGTGGATGAAGAGCATTTTAGAATGATAATACATCTTTATTCTATTCTGTCGCAATCTGAAATATGTTCTGTACTTGAAAATTGCTACAATTTGGTTAAACGTCGTTAGATATGTATGCACCCAAATATTTCAATGTCAAAGCATGTTATTGATGTTATTCTTATTTAAATATACATATTGGGCCACAGTCACCGCGGAAGCGGTGGGCAAATTTGGAGAGATTAACATGTAGGATAGGGGGGGAGGGGTTTATATAACATGGGCAGATGATAGGGACATCGAATAATTCTGGGGACATGGGCCCTTTATCCCCACGCTTCCGCCGCCATTGTTGGGCCACTCGTTAGCAGATCGCATTATTATAATAAAACTCGAGCAAAGTTTGATTTGATATGACACTAGGGTAAAGATTGCATCGGATTATTTGCTTAATATTTCAATGCATATTTATTACTCCTGAATTACTAGTGGGTGTACATTTAGCTCTCTCATGCGATTTGTCGATTATAAATTAAATAAATCATTGCAGCTTAAAAATTATTCTGGTAATACAGAATGTCACGCCATAATTTAAATGAGAATAGAATTTAACTGGAGGGAGGTAGACCAATATTCTTTCATGAAGCTAGTTGATATCTTTCTATGCAAATTCTGAAAATTTGAGTGTTTTCAAATCAAAATATTACAAATAGTTCAGCAAAGTGGACACCCTTAAAAACCAATGGCCACGACGTGACTTATATCTAATTAGTGTGCACTCATAATCAATTTGAGACGAAAATTAACACACTCTTCACATGAGAGCTTTACATATATATGAAATATGAAGTTGGATAACAGTCACTTGTAATGAAATTAAATTACACATAGAGATAAAATAATTACAAGTATGACCATGGATGTGGGTATGACACTTTATAAAACCATTGACATTTTTCCCATGCATTTAAACAAAATAGCGATGATCATTACATGACAGATCATTCATTCCTGTTCATTTCAATAAACTCCGTCTAAGATAAAAAATCTGAAAATGCACAAAAGCACGAATAAAAACATTGTTAAAATACATAATACTTAGGAACGTAATCCTTAGTATGGTTCTGCATGATTGTGATATTCATGATGAAATCTCGAATAAGTAAATTGTATTCAGTTCTTAAAAAAATATTTTTTTGATAGGAATATATAAGTTGAACGATAAGTATATGTTGCCAATTTCAGCATCTAGGACTAGATGACTCTTTATTTTAAATTTACACAATTTTTCTTGCTAGGGTTGGATATTATTATGCAAAGTCCTATGTCCCTGCATATTTAATACGAAAAATATCCGACAAGTTGTACTTTTGTGCAAACTTTGCATATCCGAAATGCAAAAGATTCCGACCAATCATATCAATCAGACGAGAGAAAGTTAGCAGCCTCAATGAAGTGGTGAAAGTTGATCAGCCAGGCCCAGGAATTATTTTCATTTCCTTTCCAACGGCTCTGTAGCCTGATGGGTAACATGCTGTAAACCAAGAGCTAATAATACATGGCTCTGTGGCCTAATTGGATATGGCGTCGGACTTCGAATCCGAAGATTGTGGGTTCGAGTCCCATCAGAGTCACACTTTTTTGACTCCTTTTTTTGCATTTCGTTTTGTATTCATTTACACTTTCGTACTGCTGTCATATTGGTAACTGAATTTGCTATTTATTAAAATTATATGGATAGCATTACCTTAGAATTTATTAACTTTGACCCTATTGTTCAGATTCCTAACAAACATGTCAAGTATTTCTATAGTTGTATTATAATGTGTAGATTGTGTTGCTGGTTCAGTTCGCATTATTTCTGCATCTTCAGATGCAGATTGAACGCCGTTTACATTTCCATTACATTGCTGCAGTACAAGATGTAGAGCAAATGCTCAATGTTCCTCAACATGAAAGAGTGGACCTCCTCTGACAGTTAGAAATTTCGCTTGTGTTAGCGCAGAAGCCAATTTTTTTTCAGTGATACCTCAGTATTTGGTATTTACACCATGAACGTCAATCATACCCTCAACTCTTTGCCGTAGACTCTACTAATTTTTCCAAAGTTGATTTTGTCATTACATTTCTCTTTTCTTGAACCTTTTAAATTATCTCTTCTCATGTTGAAGGTTTTGGATCTGGTGCACTTTTTCCCTAAGTCTATACAACATGTTATCCTGTGGGATTTTTGGTAGTTGTAATACGCGAAAGAGAGCAAAAATATGTTTTGAAGAGTGGTGCGAGGAATCGAACCCCGCGTCTCCCGTTTGCCGGACGAGCGCCCTACCACTAGGCTAACTGCCCTTCTTCACATCTATTACTCTCTTTACAACCACCAAATTCCACGTATTCTCTCCTACAATCCTGGAAAAATGCAGTCAGATTTTTATCATTCCACAAACATTTCCTACGTACGAGTGAAACTTGCTCTAATACCTTGATGTTTTAAGTCTTCGATGTGGAATTGTCCTGGTCGAAAATAATTTTTATCTTAATTGGTAATAATTCCTTGTTCCCTATGCCAGGAGAGCACATAGGTCACATTTTGTCCATATATCTCCCGTTTCATCATGTTTTCTCATTTTCATATAGCATTTATCCTTAGAGGTGTCAGGCCACGCACCCAAAGCCACTTGATACCACAACTTCCAACTGTTCCAACCCTATCTGGACTCTCATTAATTATTGCTCGGATTTTTTTGCTGTTTTGTATCTTCAATTTTGTCAGTATAATATTGGATATACCTAGATCAATTTCAGATTCATTGGTTCAGAGGATGTGGTGACCAAATTCCTGACGACGTCAAATACTAACCCATTTTCTCAAACGGTTTATGCAAATGCAACACAGTCATCAATATTTCCATGATTTTCTCGGTTAGCTTATAAGTTCTGTGTCCATTTAATACAACTTCGCCCATCTTCGAACTCGTTTCCTAACTTTGTCCAATATGCATATGGTATATACAAATTTTAAGTCAATCGGTTCAGCCGTTTTGGCTCTATCTTGCCGGACAGACGGACAGATGGACTGACACGACGGTTCCATAAGCCCTGACTCGGGCTAAAAATCGTCCTGGCACCACCCCCTTAGGAGAAACCACGGACAACAAAAAAGTTTATGCACCCTGGGGGCAACCCCATAAGGGTGACCCTCCTGGTTTTTAGAAGGCTAAAACTTGGCACAAAGGTGAAGGATACATCAGATTTATGAATATGAAATAAATTTCAAGATATTTCTGTGAATTTTTACCTCACAGGATGAACTATACTAGTTTTTCAAATTGATAGAAAAAGCAGAAGTTTTGCATGCAAAATATGAATAAAGATGCATTGTACTAAAATGGTGGTTAGAGAATCTATGATCAAAAACCTATGTATACAAATAAAGGATTTAACATATTTCATATAATCATAATTTAATAATATAATTTCTGTAAATGTCTATTGTACATTTTGAAATAAATTCACTGTAAAACTGTACTAATTTAGTATGTAAGTATAAGTATGTAGACTCAATGTGTAGCACCTAGCATAGAGCGGATTGAGGGGGCGGCGAAAATCCAACCCTTTACATATGCTCCTGCTGCTGCTGCTGCCTCAGTATTTATTTCTGTTCACTAATTAATCAGTGCTCATCTTGTGGGAGGTGGGTCCACTCGAAGCAATAATGACAACCCCCCACTGCTAACCTAGTATTAGCATTCAGTCCAGTGTCAAAATGGAGCTGCATTTCCCCATCCAGCATGTCGTTGTGGTCGGGTTCCATCATAAGAAAGGATGTCAGGTGGGTGGACGACTTATTTTGAAGCTGGGAAAAATGTTAAGAAGCGTTTCACTTTCAGATAGAATTTGCTTACCCACCGTTCGAGATGGATATCGAGAAGACGGCGTGGAAGCATTTGCCGACGTTGGCGATGCCGGATGGAGCCCACAATTTTACGACGGACACTGTATATTTCCACCTCCCCTCCTTGCACCGATCAGGAGAAACGGTCTTTGGGGTGGCGTGCTTTCAACAGATCGATGCTGAGGTGACCATTAATATCATTTATGTATTTAATATGTGGAGTTGTTTGCTTCCTCATAATTATAAATTGCCCTTGCAGAAAATAAAGAATAAAGGTGACGAGGTGACCAGATCCACTATTCAAAAGAGTATCTGCGTACTGAGCAAGTACCCCTTGTATGGACATATTCAGGTGCGCCTCCGACGATCATAAATGCTTTAATCTGTTGGACTAACTGGAGAGGGGTTTCTTTCTTCTAGGTTAAGATGTCCCTTATAACTGATGCCTACTTTCGAGAAGGAGATTTTGCCAAAGTCTCGATTTTAGAAAAGGCTTATCATAATCTGAACGCTTGCCTTACTCCTGACCTTCTCACTACACCAGAAGCATTTGTTGGTGAGTAATAACGAAACGAATGGCGTATTGAGTAAATCAAGAAATTGATGTTACGACTGACTAATTCTCAGGTTTATCTCCACGAGATTTAATTTTCACATTTCGTCACGAAGTTCTTGTCTTGTTAAAATTATTACTATTGGAGAAGCGCATTTTATTCCGTGGCACATCCGTCAGTTCGCTCTGCTCAGCCCTCTTAACCCTCGTCTCGCTCATCCCCCTCACCCTTGAGTATGGTTTGAGTGAGTCTGCCTGTGTCAAAACTTCAAAAACGATGTCAATTGTGCCCCAATTTAGTTCGCCTGAATGTTCATTTGAAGTTGAAGATGTGGAGAAGATGGATGCTGAGAAATCCAGCCCGGATACCAAATCAGACGATAAGGGCGAGCCGACGACTAAAATCTATCCGGATTTAACATCTGAAAAACTAAAAACGAGGAAAGATCTCATTAACAGCTCTCTAATTCAAGGGTCTGTCTCAACTAGATCTGGTCAGGCGCCTACCACGCTAGATTTGACGGATGATGCTGGCCGGATTGAACTCAACGAGCTAAGAACTCCAGCTTCTGAAGCAGGATCCTTCGAATCAGGATTTTCAAACAGTTCTGATCAGAAAATGAGCAATGACATTCCAGATTTTCTAACTGCAGTTCAACTAACTGCTGCGGATGCAGGACTTCCGCTCAACATATTTTGCAAGGTACACCGTCATTCTTTACTTATTTATTTCATATTACAGATTAGATATATAATATAATACTAATACACACATAATAGGGCTATCTTTGCCACCCATACCTCTCCCTTCACTACATGGATCTGCTCTCAGACTCTGGCGTGCGAGGCTTTGTCGTGGGCGCAACCAACATTCTCTTCAAACAAAAACGAGACCTGGTAGACGTCATAGTGGAGATGCAAGATGGATCTGTTGAAATTTCGTGTCCCGCTCTCAAGAAATTGGTCACCCTCACGACTGAGGATCTCAGATTTGCGGAGAATGTGGTGCGAAATGTCACCCAACAAGAGGCCAACTCCTCCAATGAATGGATCAGAGCACAGTTCAAGTATTGGTTGATGTGTTTAATGAGAACGAGTCAAATGGAGGACGGAAATCGAGCCAGGGATTGTTTTGGGGCGCAGTTTATCACCGCCTGGCAGAACACGCACCATTGGAAGTTGTGGGATGGATATATCAATTCGGAGGAGAGGGACACACCAGGAATTTATCTCATTTCTCCAGGTCACCCCTGTTCTGGTCAGATGGGAGTGAATGATGTGAAACTAAGACTCGCTCAGTATGAATTGACATATTAGTTACACGTAGGGCGTCCAAAATCGGAAAATTTTGAAAAACCGGTTTTTCGATTATTCCGATTTTTGGAATTTTCGTAAAACCGGTTTTCGATTATTCCGATTTTTGGAATTTTCGTAAAACCGGTTTTCGATTAATCCGATTTTGGAAAATTTCACAAAACCGGTTTTCGATTAATCCGATTTTGGAAAATATTGCGAAACCGGTTTTAGATTTTGTGCAAAACCGGTTTTAAACCGGTTTTTAAAATCGGTTTTAGTGCAAATTTTAAAAAGTTTGTAAATATAATCGACAAAAATTGAATGCAAAATTAAAATTAAATCCAAACTTGTGAATAAGGGATTACAGAGCAGTTAATTCTTATGTCCACAATAAGAAACAGTAAGTATTAACTCCAAAAAAGTTTGTTTTATTAAAAACCGAAAACCGGTTTTCGAGAGTGTCAAAACCGGTTTTGTATAAAATTGTAAAACCGGTTTTTCACAAAACCGTTTTTCCGGAAAATTGTAAAACCGGTTTTCGGGTAAATCGAAAACCGGTTATTAACCGGTTTTACAAAATCGGAAAAACCGATTTTGGATGCCCTAGTTACACGCGCCATATGAATAAGCTCTTCTAGTAATTAATTACTATCACCATTCTTTTTTTAGTTCCATGCAAAAGACGGAGGGTGGTCGAAAACTCAACCAAGCTGTTGGAAAGGCGGTAGCGTCGACGGGCAAGGCTGTGGGTGGTGCCCTCACCCAAGCGAAGGGCGCCCTCTCCTCTTGGTGGAGTTCCGTCGTAACGAATACGCCAACCGGTGTGGAAATCGGATCTGAGGAAGCGAATACTGCCACAGAATCCGCTCCGCAAGGCGGAACTCCTCTTCCTGCCCCTTCTTCTCTCCCGGTGTCGGCGAGCGTCAACAATGGTGGAGCCAGAGTTGAGAAGGTTGTTGAGGAAAGGCAATCGCAGTCAGTGTGGTTCACGAACTAAGGTTAATTCCTATGCAAATTATGTACCTTACAAGAGTTACCTAACCTTGCCTATGCTATGTAAGCTTTAAATAAGTTTGTTGCGTCACACTGTCGGACGGAACCACCGGTCTAAATAATTCCAAAGACAAGTCAATGTGAAATACTTATCTCGTTTTATGCAATTTACAGTCAGCACGTACGTCTTTGTGTCCCTCGTACACGACACGACCTGATATCTTATTATTATGCAGACAACCACCATCTGTAGTATTAGATACGAACACTACGTATTGTACTTTTTTATTATTAATATCAAGTTACACCCACAAATTTATTTACTCAATGATGTTATTTGCAAGTGCATTTGCGTGATATTGAATAAAATCGATCCATCACATCACAATTTTAAAATCCGAATTGGTCCAAAACCTTAGCAATCCTAAGTCTAGCTTTGCTTCGTGCTGGAGTCCACTCTGGTGGGGTTGGTGTGATATCTTCTCGCATCCACCACGGCGCTATGTTTCCACGAAAATGGTACATCAGAGCTCGCGTCCCGTGTCCTGTGATATTTTGTGGGGTTCTGACTCCGAGAGATTCACACTGCTGGAGAAAGTATGCCCTCAAGTCACTCAATTCGTTTGGTCTGCATAAAATCTCGGCAGTGTTGACTTCTTAATTGGTATTATACAAAAAAACTAGTTGTACAACTTATTTGAAGCATGTAAATTTTATTAACAAAGAAAATATTATCAGTACCACCGTCTCCAAATGCTTCTTCTTCAGAGGTTGTCGCCCCAATCCACTGAAATCCAGCCATCCAGTCGTCATCTTCAGGAAATGCTCCAGAAAATTCAAAATCGACCAAACCCGTAATTTCCAGCGTATCCTCGTCCACCAACATGTTTCGAGGTTCAAAATCTCCATGAGTGAACACTATACTGACATTCGTTACGTCCTCGCCAAACTTTGTCCTCCTCGGGTCACACATGACGTCCACAAACTTCTCAATCCTTGCTATCAACTCCGTCATACTTGTTGACTCGTCGTCACGTTGCTCTTCCATGAGGAATGGGCATCCTTTCAAGTGCTTCAACTCTGTGGTGCAGGTTGCTCTAAGATATTCGAGATAGGTTTGAAATGGGCCACACCCTGCCTCCAGCCCAGGTCCGACCACGATCCGACTGTAAACAGAACCTCCTCTGTCCTCCACCAGCTTGAATCCTTCCCCACACGAGGAAGCGTCATTATCATCGAACTGGAGAGATCCAATGGACGAAAATGCTAGCATCTTCATCTCACCCAACAAAGCTGCTATGCCACGCAGTACTTTTTTCTTCTGCATGGAGCTCAACCCCAGAAATATCTCGTCCAGGGGGACACCTCTCAGCTTGCTCATGACGATGTACTCTGACCCAACCCCTGACCTCTCCTTGGACGAGGAAAATGCGAGAATGGTGGGGAGTGTGGGGGCGAGATTGGTTTGTGACGAGAGGTGACTGATTGCTGCCACCTCGTTCTCCGTTTTCATCCTCGTCCAACAATTTCCTGTGAGGCGGATGACAAACTCGGCCTTTGGGTCCTCCGTTCGTACGACGTAGGTTCGGTTGTTGAAGCCACGATCGACGTAGGTGAAGGTGAGAGGGGAGCAAATGGGGGGGATCAGCTCGTGCTTGTTGAGAATGAAGGCTGCCTGGTCGGCCGTGAGACGTAGTCCGACGCGAGGTCCGCTCGCCTCCCCATGGTCAACACCACTTTTCTCAATAATTCCATTCGCCGTGGGGACAAAAACGTTCTTGGTGGACGTCATCAGGCGGCTGGAAAACTGGAGGTTCGTCCTTTCAGCTGATGTGAGAGATTGAGACTATGCACAACCATATCTACCTCTACATACATATAAATATGTCGGTAAAATACATGGAATTGAAGGTTAGACTCACCTGTCTGTAAGTATGTAGATATTTCTGTTTGTTAGTAGGTATTAGCACGTATTGTGCAAACACTAGATTGTGAGTACATGGTATTATGAGATATTGAGAGATCATTTGCAATCAGTCTGCATGAAATTAGTCATCTCATGTCGTCAAATTTGATCAAAGTATGTATGACTGCATGCAAATTTCCTCCTGCAAATGCTGAGATTATGCGGTCCAAACCCATATCAAGGGCTACTCGGTAGCAAAGTAAACAACTGATGAATAAGCAATTTTAAATTAAAACTTTTTTTATTAAACAGTTTTTTTACAACCAGTTTGGTTAACAATATCGACTCCACGAAACTAAAGTCAAAATCCTACGTGGTAAATTACGTAAATTTGAATATACGTTCCATGAATAAGATTGGTTACTTTTTATCCTATATGAATTTATGTAATAGAGGAGAATTTAGTTAGATTTTGATCCATCACCGTATACCACAAAGAGAACAGGTCGCTGCTTTAATTGTCATTTGTACCCTCAGTTATCCACAATCTCACTTCACTTTCACCATTCAGCTAAACTACGACTAAGCTACATACAAGGTGCAAATTAGGAATGATAATAATAATATTCTCGGACATAATAGATGACTTTTCAAGTGTAAGGTGCTTATGAAATTATTATTTTTTTGAGATTGGTCACAAGTACGTAAATATTTAGTTATGTATTTTGGTGGTCATCTAATCCACATTTTGTCTAAATTTTTATATGCAGAGTCTGCAGAGTCTGCAGAAACAATCAATACGAAGTACATCTGTAGCATCTTAACCTATAAAATCTGAATATCTTGAAGGACAGAAATAGAGAAATTCCTCAATAATACGTTGATTAATCACAACACCACGAAAATACTTGTGAATGAATTTAACTAGGTTCCAACCATGAATATAGGTTGCTTAGAAAATGAATGATTTTTCACCACTGACGATTACAAAGAATTGATTGTGAATCAACTACATATAAGTTATGCAATTACACTAAATATCTTTAAAAACATTGAACATTTTTTACCACCTTCGCACATGCACAATAAATTAATAATATTGACAACAAGCATGTTGTCAATCCACTGTACAATGATTAGAGATTAACATCGAGTACGTACGTATTAATATTTTTACAAGATAAATGTTACTCCGTTTTTTTACCTGCATCGTAGGTAATACTTTTGGCATAAAATCGTTCCTCGATCGACGTCATGTAACGTACAAAATATGGTGACAGACGCACATAAAGTTGAATTTGTTGAATAATGATGTTTCACTGTCAAACAAGACAAACTTACTAACGGTTCTCTAACAAACCAGAAACATCACTTTATCGTCAGAGTAAATCATGTAAGATAAAAGTTAGTTTGATAATTATTGTTATTTTTTGTATTTACATTAATCGTACTTAATTATTTTGCTCCGACAATTTATCGTGTTCAGAGCATTTCACGACGACCAGCAATATACTTTTTCTCTCTTCTCTTTTCTCTCTCTGCCTCTATCGACTCTCCGAATTCGTCAAGCTCCTCCACAAAATATTTAATTTCTACCCCGTTTATCCACCATCTTAACATTCATTAAAGGGTCCATGCAGCCTGTGCAGGTTCTTCTCATCCTCACGACAATCCTCGCCTACCTTTCTTCTTAGCATAGCTTTCTTCTCACGTGAGGACATGCCACATGGAAATGGTCTAGATTTTCATAAACAATTAATGATTAAGCAACAATTGGATAATTTGTGTCGCAGTGTCGTTAGCTAACCTGACGCAAGTTGTGTGTCATTTCTGTCCAGTGAGTGAGTTCCGACCCCTTCTGATGTGGTCCTAGCATGCAAGACCCAATCAGGGCGTGGCTTCCCATGAGATCATTCGACTGGTCCAACACGCTTATCTGTCATTCACCCAATTGTTATTAATTACAGAAATTAGACTCGTGCAAAATTTGGCTGCCTTCGCATTCACCTCAATGCTGCAGTTGCACAAGTTGGCAGACGTGATGGAGAAGGTGAATGCCTCGTTCCAGACGGGATCGTTTGAATTTTTCCGTGCCGTTGTCTTCTTCTTTTTCTGTCTTCTCCCACCACCAAGCAAATACACCTTCACGAACGGGTCTGCAAATTGGACAAGGGAAAAAGTTTGTAAAAAAACATGGTCTTCCAAGTTCTCTAGTTGGAGGGACGTGTGAGCCAAGTCTTGTTATTCTAACGTCCGTTTCCGGCGGAGGAAGTTGGACGGGAAAAACTTGGAATCGGATTAAATGAGTAGTTCCACTTACCGATCGTGTCCTTGTTATCTGGCGGATGTAAATTACGAGCTTTGAGCAAAACCACGGTCAAGCGTTCTGCCGACGGCAAGTAGGACAGAGAAATAAGGATCTCCTGCTTCTCTCCAGATGGCTGCGGAAAAGAGAAAGTCGTGATAAATGGAGGAATTTCTCCTTTTTCTCATTAACCACGGTGGTGACCTGGGTCATAAAGGTGGTCACGTAGCACGAGGGTAGTCGTAAAAAAATGAGACAAAGTCCTCCGTACATATTTCCATGCATAAGTAATTATTACTGCTCCCTTGCTCGCTCTCCATTAAAATAATTCACAGTGAATGTCGCATGATACGTAATTTCATCAAAGGACCTCTTGTCCATATGCCCGTCCTCGAGAAATAATTTAAACAAACAAGAAAGATTCCAACCAGAATCTGCATTTCCAGAATTTTCACTATAACTTTTCGGAGCATGTTTGTAAACAGAATTTAATATCAGTTTCTCTTAAATCGTACAACAGAGAAAGTTTGTGTGTAGCCAACATAAATTGGAACAAACTTTCTCCTCCGAATCAGACCATGACCACTTTCTTAATGTGATACAAAAGGAGACTAAAAGGTTGCCAAGTTGTTATTTATTGGCTGTATTTCTTTGATTTGATTGTGAACTAGCCGAAAGTGGGTACGTGCACTCAATTCATGTCAACAAAAATGGGCAATTCATATGTAAAACTCACCTTTTTATTCTGGACAATATCCGCAAAAATCTCGAGGTTTGTTGTGATGTCAAAGTCCTCGAGAGCGAAGGAAACCTCACCAACCACATCCGTTCGAGAATACTTGTCATTGTCGAGCACCTAAATTATTCAAATAATAAACACGTTTATGTAAAGATGTGCAGGAGATGGTGATACAGTACGAAGTTGGTTTGTGCATTTGTACGTGTCAGAAAGTTGGTGCAAGGAATCATGATAAGTTTTTCACGAGTCTGAATAAAACTTGACGTAGTAAAAATTGTGCCGAAATTTGAATACTTTTATCGTCGTAGCATCAAATGGAAAGGATCTCCACTGTAAATAGAACCTTTTCACACGCCGTGGCATGATCCAGCCACACGCTTTGTGTGCACGTAGGTAAGTGTCATAAAGAAAAGGAGGAAAGTCAGCCTTGGTCGTATTGTGTGTCAGCGGAACTACATATTCCGTATAAATGGCTGCGAAATTGTCACCGCTTTGCGGAAAAGTTTTGCCGAGTCGTACAGCGCGTCATCATTTTCTTTGTGTGATAAGAATGCGACCGGATAAAAGACGGATGTGATTTGCCCCCAGTCTTATTTGGCTTTTCGGTTTAAACTGACTTTGAAAAGGAACTTTGGCTGACTTGGTCCTCCAGGTTTCGATCAATTTTCCCTGACAAATTGCTTCGTCAAACTCAGCAAGATGCAAATAGAGGAGAATCGCTGCTGTTGTGTTCTTTTTTATTTGCTTGTTGTTCATCCCATGGAGGAAGTCAACTCTGTATTGATGTACTGCTCATCAAATAAATGGACCACATTCTCCGACCAACATCCATCAACTTGCCACATTTTTGTGGAGAAAATAAATAAAGAGTGAAGGAAGGAGAGGCAGAAGCGAAATAAATCGATTTCCTTTCTCCATGATCATCGTCTTCGTTTCCGCTGGCGAAATGCAAGCAGCTTTATTTCTGTTTGTCTCTGGTTTCTATTTTTTTTATAAATACATGTATTCAACTCTCCCTTGGATTCAGCATCTATCGAGTTCATTTTAGAGTTCTAAGAGTTCAAGGTTTTTTTGATTGGTTGCAAACTTTCACCTGGCATAAAAAAGAGATCGTTTTCAGCTCAACAGCACGGATGATGCGAGATGGGCATAGGTATCATAAAACTCGTGGAAACTGAAGCCAAAACAGCTCAAGGCTGGAGCTCAAAGAAATTGTTTAACAACTTTCCTTGCATTATATGGAATCTCGGTAGGAATACGGCCAAAGTGTTAAGCGAGGATGAAATCTATGAGTTTGTGATGTTATGCGTGCTTGTCTATAAAAGCTTACGCTGATGGGTCAGGAGCAGTGTCTATTGACGCCACTATCAGTATCGCCATAATTTGTCACTTTGACACGGAAACTCGTACCTTGCCAGATACGAGTCTTACGTATATCGCATATCTAACAAGGGAACCTTAAGTACTGTCACCTCTCGATTTCCTTCGGAATAGCCTTAATCGACAGATAATTTAGTGAAACAAAAACTTTGTCATAGAACATGCGGTGCAAAATCGCATTTTCGCGAAATATTTGGCGAGAGCTGCACCAAAACCTGCCATTTGCCCAAAGCTTTTAACATAGCCACCAGCCTTTCGAATGATGAAATGAACTTTATAGAATCTCAATAAATTATATTTGCACCCGTCCGCGTAATTTCAGCCAGATCACGAATATGCAAAAAATGATGCAAAGATTCGCAAATTTTTTGCAAATTGCGAAAATATAAAAATATCCGCAAATTTGAATTTCTTCGTTTTTTTAATTCAACAAATTGATCAGTTTAACTGATATAAAATATACTTTTGTCACTGCAAAAAATTTGCACACATTTTCAAAAAATTGAACTTCGCAATTTTTCATGAAAATAAATTAAATAATCTATTTTTACGTGGTTTTCGTAATTATTTGTGGTATTTATTTTTACAAGTTGCAAAAACTTGGTGCAATTTTATAGTTCAATATGTAGAATTTTTTGCAATGTTAGCATGTTTTAATTGTTCAACAAATTAGCTTTTTTTATTCGCTCATACCAGCATATATGATAATTCTTAAGTTTCTATAAAAAGCAGAATTTAAAAATTGTAAACTTCAATCTTTTGCAAATTTTTGTAATTTTTTGGCAATCAGAAAAGTATACTTTATATCAGTTAAACTGATCAATTTGTTGAATTAAAAAAACGAAGAAATTCAAATTTGCGGATATTTTTATATTTTCGCAATTTGCAAAAAATTTGCGAATCTTTGCATCATTTTTTGCATATTCGTGATCGGGCTGAAATTACGCGGACAGGTACAAATATAATTTATTGAGATTCTATAAAGTTCATTTCATCATTCGAAAGGCTGGTGGCTATGTTAAAAGCATTGGGCAAATGGCAGGTTTTGGTGCAGCTCTCGCCAAATATTTCGCGAAAACGCGATTTTGCACCGCATGTTCTATGACAAAGTTTTTGTTTCACTAAATTATCTGTCGAATAAGGCTATTCCGAAGGAAATCGAGAGGTGACAGTACTTAAGGTTCCCTTGTAAGTATGTACAGTGCAGACGCTCAACTCGTTTGACACCTGAGTAGTGCACCTAATGCATGGATTCAATTTTCGTCTTTTTATGCTGCACGAATCCAGGAATAATGATATGATACTCTACGCTATTTTTTTATCCGCAGACTTAATTTGGTTGTCGTCTGTGGTGTCTCTAGTGGATTGGGTGACATTGAGTTTATTTACTGAATGTCACGCAATGCACTGATCCTAGCTTTCCATTCGCCCAGATACGTACTTCACATACGTAACTACTGCTGATTGGGAGGCATCGTAACTTTCACTCCTCGACCGTCTTGTTTATTTACCTGTCTGTCCCGTCTCCTCGCACTGCCAGAGGGGAGGCAGACGCTAAAAGCAACCACTTTTCGACCCATATGTAATTAAGGAGGCATGCACACATGAACGTACGTGTGTGCATGTGCTGCTAGGTAGGAAACGACTCGAGGGAAGCTTCCAGCTCATCACATCCATTTCATTACCTGCGCCCCCCGTGTCGTGCAATGTCGTGGATGGGTAATTACATTAATTAACTTTTCCTCTTAAACGCGAATCTGGCTGCTCCAGCTTCACGAATGCTTTCCAGCTATGCACTCTATCACGACTCTTTGGTGACACATGGACGACATCCGACCAACAGAACACACAAACGCTAACAAAGTGAGCGCTGAGGCTTTCTTGGAAGTCGACATGTATACTCTTGTTTGCTGCCATTGTTTGCAGGAGGACGTAATGTGAGTACAATTTCAAACGTGCATACTCACGTGTGTCCCAGTTAATTAGCAGATTTAATTAAGTCCTTTTCAGTGGGAGAAAGTGAGTAGCGAGCGACCTACCTGTAGCATCAAGCCCTTCTCCTTGATCTCGTCTTGGCTGACGGGGAACTTGAAGTGCTCGTCAAAGAATGGGTTGGACTCGTTGCGGTGGATGCTCGTCTCCCTCTTCCTCGTGTCCACCTCTGGAGACAGGAATACGCGGATGTAGGGATCGTTGAAACCACAAATTTCACCCTTCGCCAGATCCAGAGCTGCAAAAAAAGGGAAAGGTTAGGAGGACTGCAGCTCAATTTTGGAACATTATGTAATCTGATGACGGAATTGTCACTTTTGGAATCTTTTGTTGTCACTCCACTCGAGACGAAGGCTTCTCAAGATGAGAAAATGCCACATTTTTCAAGGTTATTAAATAAACGAAGCGGCATTCCAGTTGGCAGAGTCGTCGTCACCGTCATCGGTTATTCCACGGTGAAGAGAACACTTTCTTCATTATTCATTATGCAACGAGATCCTGCTGCGCACTTTCGTGCCGACTTTAATTCGCCTCTTACTTAATTATTGTAATGAGATCGCTATGTGCGGTCCATTGCATAACTCGACGAGTCTCTTTTTCTGATTACACTCTGGTGCCCTCTAAAAAGGCGAAAACTTTTCCAACCTGCAAATCTACTCTCATCTCATCGCTCGTCCTCGTCGTCATTTGCCTCTCTCTCGACTCGATACTACAATCGAAATGAAAATAGATCTTATTCTCGCTAACTTTCTCCCTCTTTCTTTCTTCCAAAAATCTGTAGGGAATCGTTCATATTAATTCTGGAGTATTTTTAATCCAATCCAAAAGTAACCCACGCAAGGATCCCGCTTGTTAATTTGGCAGGCAAAAAATAGGGCAGAGGACGACAAAGGGTGAAAGAAGAAAGGGCTGCCAGGGCCACCCACCGCCACACATCTCCACTCTCTTTTCTCCCTTTTTTCACGTAAGACTGAGGGCGGATTGAAGTCCAGCCGAATCGGAGTGAGGGCAACCTTTCATCCGTTACCTGATTCATGACAAACAAAAGTAAGATTCTCTTTCGAGGAGAGAAACAAGAAATCAAAGCCAGGATTAAAACCGATTCAAAAGTCCACTTCGATCCAACTGGTAAAAAACGAGTAAATACAAGAGCGGAAACAGATTGAAAGCATTGGTCTCGTAAATCTTGAAAGAAATCGAAAAGTGCAAGGTTTTGACCGTGAATAGGTTTCAGTTGTATTGGGGAAGTAAGTACAAAGGAGGGATTTTGTGTCGTTCCGAATTTGTGGGGAGCAACTTGGTTTCGAAAGGTCGGGAAATATCATTTCACCCAAAGCCGTCACTTTCCATTGCATCATTAGCCCCAGACGTGCGGACTCTTCGAACTTCGTTAAAGTACACACGGCGAGGACATCTTTTCCATAAGGTCAACATTGCGATGGCATATCTCTCCAGAAGAGAAATTGGTTATTCCTACTACGACCACCGAACCCGGCCAAGCTGAGCGTAAAGTAACATCGAGTAAAGTCAACACTAAAGTCCAAGCCGTAATAAACGGTATGTAGTGAACCTCATCGCCGTCAGAGAAAGTGGTTCAGGTCGACATCCCCTTGAATAGGCACCTGCACTATAGATACGCATTTACCTGCTCGCTGTTATGTATGTGCCCCTTGTTTTCATACCTACAAAACCACTTCAAGCGTAGCAGAAATTTGCTCTGCTCTTTTGAACAACATTTTAGTGAAAGCAGGAGCAGGAAAAGCAAACCATAAGTCAAATGGATTCAACCGTACGAGAGTGAGTTCTTCCTTCGAGAAGTGTAATGGTATGTATGTGTACTTACAAGTTTGTATTCAGTTTCTGGCTCGACAGGTGTGACGAAATTCACAAGATTTGGATAAGAAAAAAGTGACTACGTGCTCACGCGTGGTGGACGCTTTAACGACGCCACAGAGAACTCGTTCTTTTTTAAATTGAGAAAAGTTTGGTCCGTAAAAATTGTTATTATCCAATTAGTTTAGTTTCTTATTCGTCGTAATAAATTTATTATGCTGTGACTCAAGTCACAGAAAATCTTGAGGATCATAAATAATGAAAAAAGTTGACGCCAAGGTCACTACCTACATACGTCGCCGTGCAATTAAATCCTCCCTGAGTCAGAAAAAACAGCTATCATAACAATAGGAAAAGCCAATAAGTTCAAAATTTAAGCAGCTTAATGACACGGGAGCACAAAAAGGAGCTAAAAATACACAACTTTCAATGGAAACAAGATTACGGGGTTGCGTGGCATCGTCACGTCGCCCTTTGCATCATATCACATTATTTTGGGGAAAACAAGCTAACCTGGTAATGAAAAGCGACGTATTGACGACAATCAAGTGACACGAATCCAATCCAATGAGCAGACAATAATTGAGTTAGCACGTAAGCAAAGCAGGAAGGAGGGGAAAACAGGAACCCAAAATCAAACTGGTTATACAAATGTATATCAGATCGACAACTAGTCGCCCTCGACGACTGGGTGGCGAAAGCTCGTGTTGTGCATAGCTTCACCAACGCTGTACATATCTGTCATTGGTCCAACGTGAGGTTGTACGTCCTGACACGACAACAACTTTTCCCTCCTCAAGGAAATCAAGGTCTCGTCCAAAAAGATTCAATTTGCAGATTGTACTCGTCGCCGACTTGTTATTTCGAACCGGAATGGAAATCGTCTGCTCGATACGCCGAAAGAATCAATTCCGCATCCATGATAAAGACTCGAGAGACAAACAAACCGAGAGTGAAGAAGGCAACCACACGACGCATTAATATTTCATGAAGATGCTGATCACGACGACCTACGCGTACACGTGTACCCTGCTCACTTTTTGAGTTCATACATACGTCGTCACCACCACTTTTTTTTACTTTCGAATGATTTATTTTCCTGCCAACGCCCACAACAAAATTTGTTTACAAACAGACCTACTTTTTATCTCTTATCGAGCAACAAAATTTTGAGCTTTCCTTTGTGAGATTTCTGTCCAGGAGAGGACGAGGGAAAACAGCACGGGAGAAAAGAACTATTGAACTCGATGGGAATTCAAAGGATGTTTTTGATCCGTCAAGTTTGTACTTTGACGACGGAAATTTCTACCACTCAAAGAAGCGTGGACAAAAAGCAGCATATACTTTCATACGTATGTATGTACAAGCATAGGAGAACTTACGAGTATCACATACGCAAGAAACTGGAAATAACTTTATCTCCTCCAAGTTCAAACTGGAGCCCAACTCGAATGCTTCAAATGAGTCGGAATAATGAAAAATGGGGATAAAAGTAGTGTGGTGGAAGTGGAGCGAGTAGGCATTTCCCTTGGATGTGCGGATTATGTTGTTATTACTTTCTCCTCCTCATTTTCTGCTGGGGAGGAGGGAGAAGCCTTCACCGAAAATTGGTCCTGATTCGCTAGGGATCATTTCAAAGAGGCAAAGACGACTCAATTCATTACGGCACCAATAAAAAAAGTAAATCTCAAGCACGACGCGACACAGCCTGCTTTCCTTGCTAAGTTGCCAACTTTACGACTGAAAACCACTTTATTTTTGATGGACGTTTTTATAAATAAAATTGTTATGCTCTTTGCCGACACAGTTCTATGTAAACTTTGGCCATTAATATAACGCTTCCCTCCCAATTATTCACACAGCGCGAGAGAGCATAACAAACGGATGAAGAAGAGATAAGAAAAGCTGAGTGCTTTCTCCACACGGATTTGCTTGCGTTATCTTGACGTTTATCGACCCTTGTCTTTCATCAGGAATTATTTAAATCGGATCCATGTGCAGTGGGTCCGCTTATGTAAATATGCACACTCAAGAGATTTGAGATCATATCCGTCTCAACCAATTCCACGTGCACGTCAGCCAGTATGTAACTTTCACTTAATGGAAATAATGCTAATGAGGCTTTTAACACTAAAGTTGAACTTACTTTCGTCTCCTTCTAGAGGAAAACTTTCAGTTTTTGATTGTTTTCCGAGTTAATTATTTTTCAATTCAGTCTCGTTTTGGATTTCTAAAATAATGGGATGGAAATTCCTAATTCCTAATTGCTTTCTTCCTTGCTGGGCTCAACTTGGCTCTGCTTGTCCCATTCTGCCCGCTTTAATTACGATTGTTTTTCTGACACAGTTAATTAAGAAATGTTTTCATTTCCATTCAGCAATAGCAATTAATGCGCATCAATGGCTCTGGAAAATAAGACTACACCGCAGGAGTCCCCATTAATAACAAATGTGGAAATGTAAATTAAATAGTTTAGCAAATGGTGGAAACTGAGGTGAAACGTGTTTCAAAATAAAATCTTTGAATTGCGACTCCGGATTAAGCTGCGGATTTGACTCGGCTCAAATGCACAATTAGAGAGAGAGAGAGAACCCATGCTGCTTGATGAAGTTGTTGGACGCCAAGGCAATCAATTAAAAGAGGAGGAAGAGAAAGAAAGCAAACTAATTTAACAAGCTCATCACGTCGTCGTCCTAAATCAATAAGTTTTTGTCATTGTTTAAACAGGATGATTAAATAGACTGAAGCAACCGCTGAGTTAATAAAATCACAAGAGAGCAAAATTTCTTCTCGCATATCATTCATCTAATTATACTCGCATCCGTCTCGTCAATGTACAAAGAAACTTTTTTCTCATTGGATCATTTTCATGATAAAATTGGGCGTAAAAATAAATACATAGAGAAAGTAGAGTTAACAATCCGTAGATAATTTTCCAGACATAACAGTCTTCGTCCTTACGCAATAGTTTTCGTCTTTTGATCAGTGCAAGAAATAAAAGAAAACAGTCCGCTTATGCAATTCGAATCGTTTGATGTGTCTGTAGACAAGGAGTTCGGAAGAAGAAGAAGAAAAAAATACTTGAAACACTGTGGAAGAAAGTCGGGAGGAGAAAGTTGGGAAAAAGTGAAAGTACTTGATTTCCACCCGAATCCTAATCAGGGACACAACGAGAGCAAGTAAAATTACTTATGTATACGCAGCAGCCCATCCACAAGCGTTTCGCAATCAGGGTTGATCAGACTAGTCCCATGCAGGATTGAAACAATGGCAGGAATAAAATCAAGGAGACGCTGAAACTAAGAAATAGTTCAGCCAAACCCAATTTAAACCCTGTGTTTCTCGAGTGTTTATTTAAACACGACTTGTCCAAGTCAAGTGTGAAGCAGGGTACGAAACGGGAGGAATGTCCATAAGGAGCGTATGCAGAAGAAAGGCCTCGTCTCGATGGTGGAGAACGTATCGAACGGGGATGGATGAGCAAACAAGTGATGATGAGCCGTCATCCTCGTTCGTCTGTCATCCCAGTCGGATAGATTGGATCTAAACCATCCGTTCGCCTCGTGAATAAATGGCTAAAAATCCATCACCCAAAAAAATGATGGTGTGTCGTGGATTTAGTTTCCCGAGAGCATATTTTATTTTTCGTAGCGATTGGTTTGTCCCGTGGAGCGTGTTATGTTGCAATATGTGCAGCCTGGTCTCTGCCGGCAGTGCTGATAAGAACATGGAGGCAAGAGTGCCATGCTTTATTTTCCTCAAATATAGTGCTTTTCTTTCCTTTCTGCACTTACACCCTTCTCGCTCGAAAGAACTTTGGACTCGTCGAAGCACTTATTTTTCGTTCCCAACCACCCAGGAAAACTTAACCTAGACCAAAAAACCAGCAATACGGAAGGATTGTGTGTCGTTCGCTTCACGGTAATTGACAGGCGAGGCAGGAGGGAATGAAGGGTGGAGGAATCGAGCTTAAAAAAACGATGCTCAACTTTTCACAACTTGACCGAGAGAGAAACAAGTCGCATTTCCTGGAAACATGTACATGCACATTTGGGTAAAAGTAAGGAGACGAGCCGTGCTCCCACCCAGCTCACTCACCTTCAATGACGTGGAGCTGGAGGTCGGACTTGTCGAGATCATACTTCAACCGGAAGTGAAGCCTTCCGAGGGACCCCGCATGGTGACCATTGCTCATCTTTCCCACGGCGGGGAAGGGGAAGCTGGCCACTTCTCCGCCATTCTCCTTCTTTCCCGAGGCCCCATCCTTGCCCACGGTGAAAATCCTGCCCATCCTGTCCATCCACACGGTGATATCCTTCTTGAGATAGAGATCCAGCTGGAGGGAGCCGAGCATGGGGGACAAGGGGCCGGTGGAGGATGCGGATGGCTGAGAGGAGGAAGAATTCCCATCCGTCGGTGATTTGGGACTGATCGGCGGTATGAAAAGGGGCGACAGACAGCGAGAGGCTCGTCTACGAAAGGAAGAGAAAAAATCAAATCCAATTTACTTCAATCAAACAAAATCCGCGTCGCATTTTCCGTAAAAAAAATAAAACTTGTCTATTTCCTTCTCTCGGATAAACTGTAATGTGCATAAAATGAGAAGATCGGATCAAATTACGTGTTCGCTCAACGTGGCCGTTCGCTCTTCCCAACAAACTTGTAACAAGATGATGAAGACATAAAATACGCTCGGCTGACAAATTAGATGAGATGAGATATATGTGTCTCTCTCCATGTGCATACAAAGGGAGGGAGCGAGGATGGATGTCTACCAACGAGTAAATAATTGGGCCTGGCATCTAGCACCACGAACCGACTACTTCAAGTAATGAGAAAATCTGACGAGATTTAATCACAAACGACACAAAAGACCTTGGCGGTTCACAGTCTGGAAGTTGGCCGACTCAACTTTTATTTCTCATGGCAGCTCGTATCATCACTACATTGTCATCAACATCATTGTCGCCAGCTACTTAATCGTCACAGTTTCTCGGAGGGCGAGGATGGCTTGGTCCCCACAACCACACTTGACTCGGCTGGAGTGGACGAAGATGAGATGGAATTAGCCATCTCAATGAACTCGTCCCTACTCCGCATACTTACTGACCCAGGACGACAGACAATCGTCGTGGACGTTCGAGTGGCCACGTGTAATCCAATTATGTACGGAATTTTATGAGCAATGATAACGGGATAAATATTTTAAGAGCACTTGGGTCCACACGTGCCGGGATTATTTATTGGCGACATTTCCTTGATCCCGCTCCTCCTTATGAATCAAATCAATAAATAATTGTTCTTGGCTCACCTTCACGCACACCGATACCTCGCTGTCTAATTGGCTACCTGGCTAATTCATGCCGTGTCTCACTGCTTGGAACAGCGTTGACATTGAATTACGCGACCCTGACCCTGTTCGGAATTGAGTTTTAAAGAGCGCGATTATGCACAATCGGAAACGAAATCTATTTCAAGCTAGCCTGAAAAGACGAAAGTCACGCCAGGACTGGAGGCATGTGTACCTGGCATGTTTGCAGCTCCAATTCTGGTCGTGGAGAAATGATAATTTAATTAGATATCGAGCAGGATGGATTTATTTGCTTGGTGGTCGTGGTGGTGAAAGTGCGAAAAGGAGAGTTTGCCTTGGACATGACTAATCCAATCTTGCGACGCGATGGAGGAAACATGTCCACAAATTCGGTTGAGTGCACGTGTGGCTGACATGATGCTGTCAGATTTGTGGGAAACTGCCCAGTCTGAGCTATCTATTGCTGTACATACTTCTACGGAGCACCGTGGTGTTCGAGATCTGCATTACTCACGCCCGTCGGTCATCTTTCTCAGGCTTGGTTACGCTTCCTAAATAAATCCACCTTGCATCTCCATTTCCATGTCTCACTCTGCATGAAGTGTAATAATACATTTTCTGCAAGTTTGGCACATTAGCAAATATTTGCCCGCCTTATTTGTTCTGGTCAGGGGAATATCTATGCGCTTTGTGAATAATGCAAATGTCGGGAATATTGCAAGGTTACAGAATAAACAAGCTTGGAATTTTGCACAAACCCAGGAATTATTGCTAGTTGAGCAAAATGATGGAATAATTCCTTATTAAAAGTTGGGCAGGTCTCAATTATTTTACGGCCTTAACCAAATAATCAGGCAGCCACATAGTTTCACCAGACGTTGTAATGAGCAATATGTTCGCGGACTGAAATTTTCCGCGAAACGAAACCCGTTACCCGTCAAATTTCTCTAAATTGCACAAATTGGGAACGTCACTCAACGGAACATTGTGCAGACTCTGATCTAAATGGAATGGTGGTAGCGTTTTATGGGAGACGAAATGAGCACTTTCGCAACATTTGCTTATGTTGCGAACTATCCACATCGTCCTAAATTGGGTCACTCACTCACTCACTCACGCGGAACGGAACGTGATCCGTGTGCAATTTATAAAATTGCTGGAAAAGAATAACAAAGTTTTAAAGAATCATAATGTGGACCACCTAGGAGAAAGTTTGTGTTGTTTACATAGCTTGGAGTCCATGCAGGCCCATATTTCTCCAATCTGGTGTTGGGTACAATATAATAATGCGAGCTAATGACAAAAGTCCATAAAAATCTTGCCGTAATGCTCACGGTCCCCATAAAATAATGCCCCCATAAAATCCTGCAGCCTAAATAATCCAACTGGGAACCAACCCGCTGACTTTATAAACTGAACAAATAAACGAGGAGTTGTATAAACTGAGCATAAAAGGAATAATCAACATCAAACAAAACCAAGGCCCGTGTGTAGCAACAAAGTTGGTTGGGAGAGATCACAGCTTTTGAACGTTGGGATTGATTTTCTCATGAAATGTATCTTTCTAGTAGAATTTAATCATCATGGGATTTCGCAGACTAAACAGGGCGACATGTGGTCGCCTTCTCTCTTCTCGTGTGAAATTGGATATCGGGATGGACAAGGCTCGTGCTGGGCTCACCTGACGCAGAGACTGTTTGGGGACAGCATGGGGACTTTTCCAGAGGGGTAGGCGTCCATGGAGTGGGATGAGTGCTGGGTCGCGCTCACGTGGAAGTTCGACTCTCCCAGCGGCGACGGGCACGGTGATGCGGCCCGATTTATGTCCAAAGATGCTGCTCGAACCTGGAAATAGTAGACGACAAGAAGTAAATACGTGGTCGAAAATATGGAATTTGGTTTTGGATTCGGTGAGATTAAAATATTCGTAGTTTTAGTGCAAAATTATGAAGCAGACAGAACATGAAACCATTTTTCAATTTGTTGCGTTTGATGCTACCTACATACTACATACATACATGGCCACATAAATAAATACGTGAATAAATATGCTGACATATTCGTACATTTTGTGCATATGGAACTTTCAGGAAGAACCATGCTAATTAATTTTGAGACTTGTTTGACGTTGTTAAATTGCAGAAGAACACTGTCAACTTCAATCTAGCCAAGCAAAACACAAAGAAAACACAGTTTTACGAACACTGAGATGTCAGAAGTGGAGAAAGTTTTTCCCTGGCCTGGTCGCACTTCAGACAAATTAATCGAATCAAATGTTCAAACGTTCTTTTGTACATTTGTATGCCTTTCAAGCATTTTTCCCCTGTTCGCATGCACAGTGAAATTTTTCCGAGGTGACAAATGGAAACTATTCAAGTGCCGTGACATTTACGCTTGAAACTACAACGATTCAATTAAACTTTGATCACTCCACTTTGAAACGACACTTCTTTGTGATGCACGAAATACTTGTAATAACAGCGTGACATTTCTTTCATGTGACAACGACCCCACGCGACCTCGAGAACAAAGTCGAAGCAATTATTTCATAATAAAACCAGCGCGTGGAGTGCGGCAATTAGATCTCCATTAGCCAAACATGTATCCAAATGACATCGCAGAGAGAAAGGCAGCTCCTCACTTTCATCACTGCACGTACACGCGGAAAATATGAGACGGAATGCGAGCAAGAGTTTAGAGCTTTCTATAAATTTCAAGGAATTCGCAAATTCCGATAGAATTATAGACTTCCATGAATTTTTTGCACGCCATGTTGCTTGTCGATAACTAGTGGTATGAATAATAATAATGTTATGGTTCGAGTGAAAGGACGGCTTATCTGTGTACTCGCTACTTTTGCCATCAGCCTAATTCCATTTCTTGGACAAGAATTTCGTTTTTGGCCTAAGCGGATTAGTGCGCTGGCAATATTTTTGTGTGACATGGTAAATGAGCTGAGTCGTGGTGGTGGTGGTGGTGGAAATTGGGTAATGAACTTACGTAGAGAGGGGAGGGTGACCTGGACCCGTGATACACGGGTGGAGGGGAATCCGGTGGCGAGTTCACGTCGAAACTGAACCCTTCTGGGTTAAACGTCCGAATGGCTGGGGAAGAGCCTCGGTGGCCCTGAAATGACATTAGACAACACTTTGTGTTAAATATTGATCCACTTAATTTGGACCCCACTGATCAATTAGGAATGTCGAGGATGCGAATCTGTCTTTACATAAATCTCGCCCCCAAGTCAACCTACACCACCACCACCACCACCGCTTAAGAGATGCACAAGATGCAATCCGCTCCTAAATATTTACAAAGTTTAACTGCTAAACTCTGATCGAATTTCTCTCCTCACATTCTTCCCGTAGTTATTGGATAGTGTTCCCTTTCTTCCCTCGACAACATCCCTGCGAGCATCTGGAATTCCACTTTATTCGTATGTACACAAGTCCAACCGAATGACATGATTGAATTGGAAGGAGACATGACAAGGATTCTAGGCAAATACCAAAGCCAGATTTCCCTAAGCTTGCATAACACTGATTTTCATAGGAGACAGGACCAGGAGCAGTTTGGACTATGCCAGCATCGCAATCAGTTATCTCCTATTACGACAAGGACCACCACAGTCGGATGAGGTCAACGGTCTAGTCTTCACTGGATGTGGGTTGGATTTCCGCCACAACAAGGAAGACTTCAAGGAGAGAGAAAGTCAAATCTGCTCCCCGGGCATAGAATTAAGACGACTTTCACTCGATCTGCTCCTGCTCCCGAGGTGCGGAATGTCAGCGGGAGGGGAGGGAAGGAAGTGCGACCATAAGGAAGTGATGCCGCTGCTGTATGTGTGTGTACTCCAGAAGCCGTTTTTTACTGTCCCCACCATCTTGGGAGACTTCCTGCACAACAACATTTGTGGAGGAGAGGTTTTTGAGCCTGGCTCTGCTGACGATGAGGGAAGAATTGGCGAAATATATTGCACATTTCTTGTCTGATGATCCGATTATATGGGCAACGCCGAACCCATTATTATTCTCACTTGTGGCCAACGACGCAATAAAAAATCCTATTATCGTTTAAGCCAAAATTTTATGTGGGCGTTTGTTGTGTGCCTGAAATGAAATACTTGTTGCTCCGTCAACTCTCCTCAGGCAACGCGGCATTGGAGGAAAAAGTGCAAGATTTTCTCGCCGACATGGTAAATAATCCGCGTGGGAACATAATACCGTAAAAAACATTTAAAACAACTTGTGTATCGTCTACAGCTTTCGTTTTGTCGGGGAGTAAACCATTCCCATAGTCAACGCTTAGCTATGGGACCTTCCCTAAAAAGCAGGTCAAGACCGCCTACGCAGCAACCTAGAGTGCCAATCAGCCACCCAAATCATGTCCGACCTGCCTCCCTCGTGAAAAGAAAGCTGTGAACAAAAGGGAATGAGGCCCACTGACTGGCACGACCCTGGTAATAAATGAATATGTAGGTCAGAGAGCACCAGGCCACGAATTGGGTGGGGATGATGAGCATTTACGAGTGCGGTGCGGAACAGCAGGTGGTGGTAGTCGTACATGCATTTGCCCATTGTTCAAGTGATCAATCGAATCTGCTGGGGACCACACCCCGTCAAAACAAATAATCCACCCGGGGCAACACGTAGCGCAAAGTGGAGCTGAAATGCGTCGAAACTTTACTTTCTCTTCACTGGAAGAGAGGGCGAAACAAAGGAATCGAGGATAAACAGTACGTGACACGATCATCCACCTGCAACGCCGTCCTCCTCGTCCCATGGGCAGCAGAAGTGAGGTGAGTGGTGAGAGAGAGGTGAGAGCCCAAATAATGGGAAGGATCAAATATCGCCATCACATGCACCAACACGAGTCCAGTCAGTTCTGGTAGGATTCGCTTAAATCCCCTCAAATCTCACTTTGAGATGGAAACCAGCACAACAACCACTCATGAATTTACTCCTGCTGCCGCTGTGGGGACTAATGTGCGCGACAACCTAGGACATGGTCGCCATTTGATCGGAAAGCCTGTGTGATCCAAGCCATTAGGAGAAAGAAAGCAGGAGCGAAAACAATAATTAAACTTTCTCTCTCTCTCTTAGGAGCTAGTCTGAACCCATTAAAACTTATGCAGTCAGACGAGGAGAAAGCGAAAATCAAACAATTGCTGCAAACAAAGAATCACATCCTGCGAAGAAAGAAATCGAGTTGTGTAACGCTTTTAAGTGAAAGTAAGCAAGAAGGAGAGCTCCGAGTACATAAACGCTGAGGCAGGACTTGAAAAAGGGAGGATGGGTCGTGCAAATTATATTGATATTTGTTTAGACTGCGAGTTGGTTGAGTAAAATATGCGACACAATCTTATTCGATGGTTGCACCCGTTTCAGAGCCCCCGTTTATTTGTGAGGAGTTAAAAATGATGAGTTTTTGGTCCTCCTTTGAGGAGGTATACGTTCTTCTCGAACAAATCTGGATAGAGGCGGATGGGACAATGAAAGGCTAGAGATTGGGTAGGATTCAATTTTCCGTGGACGTGACATTGAAGGAATTCCAATAATCCAGGCGAGCGAGGGAATCACATTTGTCAAAAATGCAGAGTGAGTTGATGTCTTTGTTCATGTCCACTCGTATTGTTTTTGAAATTGATGCTGTTGCACGGGTCGGGCGACGCGGTGGTGCTCTTGGCGTTGTTGTCGACGACGAGGAAGAAGATGGATCATGCCACGTCTGCTGTTTGTTTGGTCCTGTCCATTGCACGAGGACCTCTCTCTCTCTCTCGGGATGAGTTATACAACGCCCTGAGAGGAGGATCAAGACATTCCTTTTCCTGGAAGGATTTATTTGACGACAGATGCAGAGAGAGAGGAACGTAATAAGTGAAGTGAGTGGAATTGAATGTAGCCTTTAATAAAGGGAGAAAGGAACTCGCTGAGTGAGCACGAAAAGAAGGATGAGCATCTCGTAACTCTTTTGTGAGGCAGGGAGGTAGGCATACATACTCTGCATGAGTAAGATTTGTGACCCGTTCTATCCATTTTTCATCCAGAATCTCACCTGCTCACCAAGCAAAGCTACCTACACCTTCCTATCATAAATAGTTACGGAGGAGTGATAAATCTTGGAGAGCTTCTGCATACGCACCACTTCTGACTGGAAGATCCAGATGTAACTTTTGGACCTCAACATCCTCGCATGAAGGGAGACGCGAATAATAATGGAGACCTTGTTGTGCGACCACCACATGCAGCGTGGACTTTCTCCACTCTCACCTTGCCGTGAATCCATGTCAGAAAGTACGGAGAATCAAGTCTGCTCCCACCACCCACACAAATAACGGAGTCGAATAGAAGACCTCGTTTGCCTGTCTCACTCACCTGCAGAGACGGGTCGTCGACTTGCTTCTTGGCCCATGCAATTCCTTCATAACGAAGCAGGATGTCTCAATCAGAGGCAGAATGGTGAGTGGGTGGGTGGTTGGATTGGGCTGTGTGTGTTTTGTACGTACACATCAAACGGAAAGGCCAAAACTTCTTGAGTTCCAATCGCAACGCAATCAAGGTAAAGTTGATCAAAGCCAAAATTTGGCTCGGATTGAATTTTGAAGGATCTCCACAATTTGTGAAAAATGAGCCAGCCATGTGTGGGCAGCCTGGTTTGTGAAACGGAAATACAGACGGATTCTTTATGTCGTTGATATTTACATAAGCATTGTAGTCATCATCTGACGGTTTGGTGTGCGGATAATTTCAGACAATTTGTTTACCAGCCAGCGAGTTTGTTTCCAGGAATGAAACTCAATCATGAAAGTTGTTCGATCTCTCTGTGAAGCCCTTCATGGATGAAAGTGTAAGTGGATGAAATGGCGACACGACGGGCACCAGGTTTAATCAGGTCACGAGAGGTTGCTGGGGCGAGAATAGCCGCGACTATGGACGATATTAGAGAATTATGCAATCCCAATTTTCAGAGTGACGCATGTAATCGAGCGATATTTCACTACCCATCAAGCCGAGAAAGTGGTGGCTGACGACGACAAAGATGATGAATGAAGAAACCATTGTAAATCACTCCTTTGTGTGATATGAAATTATCCAATAATAGCTGTACCAATTTATCACACACAACGTTTAATTAAAATCAGCATCATCATTCAATGAGAGCAAAGTGTGTCATTCGCACCCAAATTACATATATTTTCTAGCCACAAGATTGAAATTTACTGAGAGGTCGTCTAAATAATAGCACGCGCGAGCATACCTGTAGTTGCGTCAGTGGTAGGTAGGCAATATGTAAATATGCATAATTCACACTTCCGCACATCTGAATGAAGTACGCAGCCTGAATGAATCGGCATCTGTCTGACGACGAGTGCGATGTCCCCTCGAAACCACAAACAACAACATGTCGAGAAGCTTTTCCTTGTTTAAATAGTGGGACACGGGGCAATGGCGAAGTTGGAGCGTCCCCCGAACAACACGACTCGATTGTTATGTATCCTGGAGGAGGACAATGGGAACAGAATTGCTTTCACCCACGCAGAACCACCGCACATCCCCTTGAAACTTTGTCCCACGTTGAAAACTTGTCAAATTAATCCGACTGACAAATTAATTGAGCTTCTCTTCGCACCAGCCAACAAACAACCATTTCCACTCTACAAAATCATCTCCAGCCAATGCCACATGTCATGCCCACACAAAAGTGTTATTGGTTCAGGGATGAGTAACGATGTACATATTACTTACTTACTTGATATCGGAAAATATTGTGAATTTCATTTCCTCTCAAGTCTGCACGTGGATAAGCATGCGACGCATTTTCTTGCCTCGCAGTCATCCAATATGCAGGCACGTATGTACGCTCAGAAAGACAGGTTTTTGCAATAAATCGTGTAATTTCGCATGGAGTAAAGGCAAGCAGTCGAGACATAGTCAATATTACTTTTTAGCATACAATTTGACAATGGCTCGTTCCCTTTGTATTTATGCATGGATATTTCTCTCTTTGTTGTACTCTCTCTCAACTGGGTTCATGATGGGACACGTGTGCAATTTCATTCGACAAATAAAATTATGCAAATGTTTGATGCTACTCGATTACCATTTTTTCCTCGCAATAATGAATGGGGGAATGGGGATAACAGGAATAATGGGAATGGGCCATACATGAAACACCTCTAGTACGATACATGGGGAGATATGCATTACTTTCTTGATTGGATCACGGGGTGAAAGGGGAGAAAGTTTTCTACTGTTGGATACGTGCAGGGAGAAACTTGCAAAAACTGATTGCAAATAAATGACGAACCACCATTAGCGATGATTTTCCAGTTCAATTTGGTCGGGGTTTCAACCTGAAAGAGAAACTTTACTCTTTCTTTGCCTGCCTCCTAATTTCTTTGCTTCTCCTCTCTCTACGCACGTACTTCTTACTGGAGAAAGTTGCAGCATGTGCGATCAGATCCTGTTCTCATGGACGTCAAAAATCGCTCTCACCTCAAACTCCAACACTCGCGGACTATTTTTAACTCCTTTCTCATCAGAAACAATGGGATTCTAATAATAATGGGGGTTCAGCTTGTGATGTGATGGACATATTTGGACCAAAATAATACCCACGACCCACTCCGTCCGCTGTCCGTTACGTATCTGTCTGTCTGCCTGCCAATGCCACCTTATTTTGAGATTAATACAAACTGCGACGCTACATAAATCTAATTTGATTTGATGGAGGAGGCGAGAGGGATCATGCAGATTGACCAACTGCTCTGCGGCTCAGTTGTGAAATTCCATCCCATTTAAGTACAACTGGTGGTGATGGTGTATCCCTTTTCGGCCAGGGTCTCATCTGCTCTTGCGGTTGCCGACTTCAATGAGAATTACAGATTGAACTGACTGCGGTTTTCATGGATGTATTTATCATCAGATTGGATCAAACCCTTTGTTGTGGCGTTGTTGGGAAGGATAGAACACAAAAACAGAAGGATTTCCACCGAAAATAACTAAGCCAACCTCTCAAAACACTTAAGCGATGAACCCACATTGAATTTCACTATTCATCAATTGATAACAAAAGGCCTTGAACAATTTCCTGTGCCAAACAACCGGTGGTGCAACTATGTACGCATAAATTGGGCTCAAAGGTTTCCAAAAAAAGTAATGAGCTGTAAAAAACATGGGGTCGTTTTCGTGGAGAAAGTGGTAACTTTTTTCTTGGTAGAAAGAAGAAGGAAACTCGCAAGTAATAATCGTGGCGAAATTCGAGTCGAATGAGCAGCCTTCTCGTTAAGTGGAGGTGAACTTGAGCTGCATAACTTGAGCTTTGGTCGTCCCCTGTTTTTTTATATTTCATTTTATTTGTACTGAAAGTTGCATTGCACTCTAAACAAAATTGAGTAAAAAAGAGGATGACACAACAGTCGAGGTAAAATTTGTCCAAAATTGAGTAAAATTTGCCCAACGTTGTGCGAACAAGGTGCATCATCATCATAATTTTACTCAATGTTGGACAAATTTTACCTCGACTGTTGTGTCATCCTCTTTTTTACTCAAGGTTGGGCAAATTTAGTACAACTTTTTTTAGAGTGTGGGATTGAAAAGTAAACTTTCTCTCCAATTTCGAAATGCCCACGTGATTAGTAGGAAAACTCACATTATTTGAACAAGTTTAAGTCGAGGAAGGATGGAATACTGTTCTTGGAAGAATCCTAAGTGGTTTGTTTTTCTCCTTTCAACATGTTAAATAAACTGAAAAATTATGGAGGTTCCTTTCCACCAAGGACAAATTCTAGTGACCTGCCCACATCGCACACGAGGAGGAATTATTGCGTAATACTGTATTCAAGGTTAGTTTTCAGCGAAATGTTTGCGACATGTTGGCTGAACGAATTGCGTAAAAAACGTAATCTAAAAATATGATTGTCGTCGCATGAAGATCAATCTGCAGGAAATAGGGAATTATAATTGGCAGCGTGCGGAAACATGAAATCTGCTTCATGACTATTCATTATTATTTGCCATGTATCTGTCAGTGCAAACATGATTTATGGACGGATGATTCCTGGCGTGTCCCGCACGACATGCTGCGACACCGACTCGCTTTCTCCCAACATGTGTATGTACCCCAATCAGTAAGTGTAATCAGTATGTAATTGGGGTATAGGCTGATGTGCAAATTTACTGATATGGCCGTATAAATCTCGCCCAGATAAGGACGGGTTTACATAACTCGTTGTGCAACATGTTATTTCATGGTGAATGATTGCTTTTACTACTAATTCCAAAATTTAAATAATTGCATAACGAGCGATATGCAGATATGTTTGCAACTTTGTTGAAGAATTGAATAATAGGCAGCACTAGCAATTAATTACGTGAGAGCATCAATGCTGAATAATTGAGCATTAGCTTCTCCAACAAGTTATAAATGATTGCATAAAATTTGGAGGTACATAAAACTAGGGAACACAACTTAATTTTGGATCGCTCTGTCAACACGTGTCCTCTGAAAGCGGCCAAAGTATTGCCCACAGCGCTTCTTTATTCCAGTTTCAACTTGTTCAAACTTTTACCTCATTTCAAGGTGAGAAAATAATCCGGGGAGTCATGGCCATTCATTTGACGGAGAATTAGTTGTTGATGATGCTGTTCTCGCCGTGAAATGGCCATGACTCGTCGCTGGATTAATTTCTGTTAAGTGATTGCGACATTTATTACGAAATTATATGAACAGTTCTGCTGTTGTTCAACATTTCATTGCGCAATTAGTAGAATAATTTGCCAACTAAATATTCAAGGGGAGAGAAAGTGCCAAGTCCTATGGTTCTTCTTTGTCTCTAAATGGTCGGAATTTATGCAAATTTGGCCTGACTCAAATTGACCACGTTACTTTACAACCGAGACCTAGAACCATATTGTACACTCCATGCTACTTGGCTGATGTGCGAATTAGTTATGCAGATATTCCACAACAACATGGATCGATTAGCGAATAAATGGGGAGAGGGGATTTGGAAGGGATTTGGAGGGGAAGATTTGATAATGGTGTTATTATTGTTCCTTTAATTCTCTCTGAGTGAGTGATTTTCCAAAATCTGTCCGGAGCAGGCACACAAAACAACCTTCTTCCTCCATCCAGTGAAGCAAACAAGTCGATGGCTACTCTGCTAAATGCCGTATGACATGAAAGTGTCAAGTGTCAGTGTCAATCATGTCTTGTTCAGCGACTGGAGGATATGATACTTTCCCGTCTGCTGCAGCCCTTGTTTTCGTCCTTCATATTTTTCACTTCCCCAAATTTCACCAGTGCCTTCTCTTTCAAAACAAGACGAGGCCAACTGTTGGGAAAGTATGCATTTCGCAATCATCTGTCTAGATCAGCGTGGTGGATTCCTTCGTAATCCTTATTTGAATATTCAACTTTCTAGAGCCGTTCGTTTTCCGGATTTCCCAGTCAGTCAGTCAGGCAGCCAGTTAGTCGGACAGTTTGTCAGTGGGGTGAAATATGTTCAAGATGATAGCAGGAAATTAGGCGGAAGGTGTTTGGGGCGAGCGAGTGAGTGTGGTGAGCAAGTGAGGGCATTATTGGACGGACGGGTGAAATGAATCCCTTCAACAAACAACTTTCTTCCCATCACGGTAATCATAAAGGCGATGGCACGTCACCACCTTTCTGGATGACGGGATTACCAGAAACCACACTTATTAATGCTGTCGTGCTTCTCGGAGGGCTTACGGCCTGTCAGAGACGGATAAATGCACAAATCTCAAAATCAGTCGTTCAATCCGCAAACTTCAAAAGCAGCAGCAGCAGCGGATAAGCAGGGGGTGCACGTGGAGGCGGAGTGGTGTGTGTCCTCGTCTGACCTTGGACCATGAAAAGTATTTACGAACTACTTTCGATGTGTGCAATCGCTAATAGTACGAACCATTCATAATGTGCGAAATCATGTATGCCATCTAACCTGTGGTCGTCTTTTGGTTTTATGTGGTTTTATGTGGCGGGTGGGATGCAAAAATTAAAACTGAGAATAAAAGCTGGTCGATCTCCCTCACCTTTCTCACCGCACTCTCAATGTGTCCTTGCGAGGAGATGGAGTAGGTGCGGTTCAGCCTTGCGCCCGGGATTGGGGGCCCCTGTAAGATTCAAACGGTCAGTCTATGCCACATAAATACGTACAAATGTATAACATGGAGGGAAATGGGGACAAACCGTGGGCAGTGAGCGAGATTGATGGGTCAGCATTGTTCCAGGAGGGTCCAACTGTTGCTGCGCTGGTGGCTGCTGTCGTTGGTACTGCTGCTGCTGATTGTTGAGGTGTATTCGCACCGGACTTGGTGGTGACCGAGGAAGCTGTGGCGTCTCCACTTCTTGCAGAATTATGGGAAAATATGCTTGGGAGCAGCGTCTCTGGCCAACTGGAGGATAATATTGCTCTGATTGTGGTGGGTACAGCGGTGGTGAGAATTGGTCTGCTGGGTCGATTTCAATCTCAATCTCAGTCTGTGGATTGTTGTTGTGAGGGTGCTGATAGTGGAGCTGGACTTGTTGCTCTGGTTGCTGCTGCTGCTGCTGCTGCTGAGGTGGCTTTCTCCGTCGTCGAGAAGATCGGGGTCGTCTCACACTGCTTCTGGTGGGTGAGGTCTTGGTACTGCTGCCTGGAGACCAGAGGGGAATCGAGACGTGTTCGATGCAGTAGTCGACGGAGAGCTTGTGTCGCCTGGCTTGTGAGATGGAAGGGTGGTCCTGGTTGGCGTTGGTGTGTGGGGCAGGATGATACTGAGCGTTACTCTGAGCGTATGGGTTGAGAAGGTTACGGTTCTGGTGTTGTGGGCTTGGTGGGAGTCTGGTTGGGCTGGTTTTGCTCGCGTTGGGGCTGTGATTCTGATTTGGAACGACTTCTGGGAGTGAGTGGCGCGCCTTGGTGGAAACGGAGGGGTGGACAACTTGGCGATAGTAGTAGTACGGCTGGACCAACTGTTGCTCTTTGCTGACACGGAATTCCTACGGGGAGCACAAAGATCAAGCGAGATTAGATTAAGGTTCAGGAAATGCAAAGCTTAATCGAATTTATCGAGCAAGTCTCAAGGTGACTGCTCAAGAGGCTCAACTAACGAGGCAGTAAAGTGCGATGCCCGGCGTGGGCGGTGGTGTGTGGTTGCTTCGAGTGTGGAGACTCCTCGAAAATCTGGCAAAGTTTGCCTTCCAAGAAATAAAAGTCAAGCGCTGGTGTGTGGGTTTTTCCAAGAAATCTTTTATGCAACCAACATTCCCACTCACAACTAAATTCCCGTCTCAACTTTTTGCTAAAAAATGAAATTTACTAAAAAATTGTGCATTATTCTTACAGCAAAGAAGATCCAATATCAGAATTTGGAGGAGTAGAAGAAATCTGAGTGTTGAACAACTTGTTGCCTTAACTTTTGCTTGTGCTTCCTTGCGTCCGCCCAAGTGAGCCGAGGAGAGAAAGTGAGACAGAAGGCGAAGAGAAAGTGTGTGCTTTCACTATCGAGGAGAACGTCGCACTGATCCCCGTTTCTCCTTGGGCTTATAATACCATCAGCAGCACCAGAATTTCCCTCACCACTACGCGAAGCTCGTTCCGAGGAAAATAGTATGCTTGGCTTTCCCAGCAGCCGCACAGCTCCTGCTTATTACCACTCTGCATCCCATTATTCTCTGGGGACAGGGAGTGAAATTATGAACTACAACACTCCCATGCATGGCTTTCACCCAAGCATATTTGGCTAGTCAGTAGTCAACCTAATTTCATGCTCAGACGGAATAAAGATGTGCACCCCATTCAACCACCAAGTCCTCCATTGTGCACCAATTTGTCATAGAAAGCTTAATCCAGCAATGCGGCAAAATTGATATCTTGCACACCCGGCCAGGAGCAGTCGAGCAAATTCCATGAAATAGGAAACCACCATTATTGAACAGAATTTCTGCTGGAATTTCTGTCCAACTCGGAGAGAGGACTTAAATTCCCATATAGCGAGTGAGTGAAAGTAGGAGAAGAAAAAGTCCAGCGAGGTCTCTCTCTCGAGGCTTTGGAGACAAGAGTTGCAAGTTCATGGAGGAGAGAGACAAAGCTGGGGAGCAAAATAGGCCAGTCTGATAGGGATCCTGAGGGGAAAGTAGTCGACTAGAAAGGAAAGTACAAGCCGCAGCAGCCAGGTTCATAAAAAGGACATTTTTCAGCTCCTCTGTTTTCACTTTCGCCAAAAAGTTAGAAAACAGATCCCTCCTAATACTCGACGAGTCTATTTTGGTACCTCTTCCTACTTTGCAACCATTTTCTGGATCACTTTGTACTCTACTTTTCCTCCACTTGAAATGAATCCGAGTGGAAGCCATAGTTCACGAGAGAGAGAAAGCAAAAGCGTACGATAATGGACGCTAAATGAATTCACGTCGTCACTAAAGTCATGAAATTGAGCAGGGTTGGTGAGCTGTGACCAGAGTATGGGCTGCAAATAGTGCATTACCGAGTGGAACACGGTGGATAAATAGGTGGATGGATAAGACTGATGGGGAGATAGCAGGGAAGGTGGGTGGGGAGGAGAGAAATGGAGGTGTGTGTCACCATGAAATACCAATATCTAACACAAGCGTAGCTTCTTCAGTCATCCATGGTGTGTCACGTCTGGCCCTATTGAAAAATAAGGAGTTCACCTCCTACACGAGTAAAAAATTATCTCTCAAAAGGTGTCGTTTTACACATGCGGATATTTTTGCTTGCATAACCTCCTTTACTACGTCCAATTTAGTGAAAAGTCTACAAATTCTGCGGAATCACTGGGTGGTTGGTATTGTCTTCCTGTCCGCGGTGGTGGTGGTGGTGTGGGCCACATTAGGCATTCACCGCATCGTTTAATGGGATCCTGGCAATAACTATGAATACATACAGGTCTGCGTGCCCTCCTCTTCCGGATGGTCCTCTGGAGACGGTGATGAGGAAGATGTTTGCTCATTCGGCGTGCCCACCAACCAACCCACCTCACCCACCTTTCCTTCCTCGGCTTCAAATAAAATTCTATACACTGCAAACAAGGCATATACACCCTTTAGTAAATAAACAGATTTACAGAGACCCAGTTTCGCGAGGACACAAGGCGACGGTCTCCAGGAATTATATGATCTATTTTCATTTTGCTCTATCCAACAAAGGTGAGCACCGTCAGAAGAAGTCTAGGCCCCACGTGAAACATGGTGCAGAGCAGGAGACGCAGCCTACGAGCACAACGGCGTATTATGTTTTTGCGAGATCCATTACCTTTCATAATTGTTTACGAATTAAGGCTTAATGAATGTTTAATGATGAATAAAGGTCCATGCTACGTGATATTTTATGAATTTGGTCACAACCTCAACTTGCTGCGTGTGTGCATGGTTCAAGTTGAATCTCATGACCTCGTTCCCTCTCTTCTGCTCGCAAAGTGTTCCGTTTCATTCGGGTGAAAGTAAGTGCTTTGCGGTGGTGGTGAGAGTAATAAGAGCTCAGTTTTGAAATGTGAATATTGTGGCGACAGTTATGCAAGGCTCACCTTTGAAGTCGAGGATAAGACGGAGAAGAGACACATTTAATATGGCGAGGAATTACACAAGCAGAGAAACTTTCCATTGTGAGTGCATACTCCGCATTACATTCTTGATGACAGACCACATGGTAAAATTTTACCTCTGCTGGTCCAAAGTTCAATAGAAATCCGATTACTTGGTGAATATACAAACAGCAAGCTAAGAAAACAAGCCTCTTATGGAAATCTTTATCTTGGAACCGAATCAATAACAAGATAAAAAGTAAGTATTCGTTCCTTTCAGTTACAAATACGATGCCCAGTAAATAATACGGACTTTAAAAACAGGTTGGTCTACTAGGTGCCACACACCGAGTGACGAAATTTCCACCAAAATTCAGTACCGATTGATATGCTGTTAACAGAATTATGTATTATGCAAAGTGACGCAAATTGTCGCAAGGCCACAAAGCAAATTTCTTCCTGTATAATAAGCCGAGAACATAATTGGACACACAGGTGGCTTTACATTATTATAGATTACACACTTTCATCTAAAATGACGTTGAAGGATGACTGCGCTCGACGACGGCGTTTTACAGGGACAAATTTCAAACGACTTTGTCAAACACTCTTTTATTTTTCAATTCCCTTCGTCACAGGGTTGCACTCGGCGTGTCGTGACAGGTAATGATTACACGGCCAAGAAATGGAAAAGTCTTACGAGGAGTGACATGTATGGATTGTACATATATTATTTTACCCTCACCTCATCAAATCAACGGGGAAACAGCCTGCACTTTCACTTCCCGACTTGAGTGCAACCTTTCCAATCTATTTTTGAATTGCCATGCAAAGGGAGTTCCTTCGAAAAAGTGGATACAACACTGCGTTCGCAGTTTATTTAAAGATTTCTAGAGTGAAATTCCTTTCAAACTGCGGCTAATACTGCGTTTTAAAAAATGGTTAACTAGCTCCTGTCGATCCGTCTTCTTGTGGTTTCTCCGTCTTTATTGATTTATTGCTCTGTTAAAGTAGTAGCAGCCTGCCGACAAGCTTTGTTTTTGGTTTTGATACAAATTGAGTTGAGGGTAAAGTATTGTGTATCTCAGGTTAAGACAGCTCGTGCATACGCCATACCACACGCTGTGATTTCAATCATCGGAATCTCTAAATATGGAAAGCCCACGTAAGAAGTAAGTCGTATATTCGAGACGCATAATGCTGATTGGTGATGAAGGGATCGAACCCCCAATTCTCACCATTTGAGAAACTTACTTGAGCACACAATATTTGCATAATATTATTCCACAACAGAAGAACGGTGGTGGTGTGGAAAGCAAATAAGATACAAATTCCAGCCAAGCCTGCGAAAGAGAAAGTTTGGTTTGCTTGAAACTGAATTAGGATGAGGATGCGATCACTACTACCACATAAAGAATACGGACGGCAAAACTGTTGGGATGGGAGGAAGGAAGTGGTCTGCAACAGAAAAGGGATTACACTACGCAGCAAGTTTTAAACGAGATGTTTGAAGATGTTTACGATTAATACGGCTTACGGAGGCTCATGCTGGCTTGGTTTGGCAATAAATTGAGCAGGATTTTCCAGTATTTGCTTAGATTTTAGTCCTTATTAGGTATCTCAAACTAGAGCTCTCTATAAGTACTTGTAGCTTATTTTTAAAGGGAATTAAACGTATGTACGACTGCCAAATTGGTAGTATCAATTCCGGGAATTAAAGGAAGTAGAGCAAAGTAATTCAGTTTTTATCCCGTCGTTATTTCCAAGTTCAATATTTCTTCCGTGAGAAATCCATCAAGTACTTGTTCAGCTTGGAAAACCATTTTTATTTTTCACGATTGAGCATTTTGTGCTGTCACATAATGCATTCGTTGAACCATTAGTCGAAAAACAATTAAGCGTCCACATCTCGTATTCAACAAACGCAGTGTTATATATAATTTCCCTCAAGAATTCGGGTAGTGGGCGAAAAAGATTTCGACTTTCGTGGCATTTCACTGATGAAAGACAACTTTCTAGGTATTTGTGTCCTCTTATAAATCAATGCGTCTACATCATGAATAGCACATTTGAATGCCTATCTGATTTCCATAGCAGGTGGTATGACGGAAAGATGATACGATTGTGGGTGGATTAATGTTGAAATACTTTGGGACGAATTATTATTGGACATTTCAAGGTTTGTGTGAATACCAACTTTCATGCATTTGCTCACACGTTTGAGTGAATACATCAGCTTAAAAATTGTAGGAAGGCTCATTTTGAACTATATAAAACTGTAGTTTATTTCATGTATACTTTACATGCAACTTGCTACACAAATACGCATGTAATAAATAAGATAAGTGCAAATTTAATTCTTACCATTGGTTAGAATTGGTATGTAAAATTTCTATCAAATAGTAACAATACATTTAAAGAAAATAAGATGAAATTAAAGTTATTTTAATTTGATGT